TATTAACATCGCATATTAGTTTCCAGTAACAAAACAAACAAAAGTGAAATATGTATTTTTAATTTATTACTTTGATATTTATAACTTATTTCAACTAATTACTTAGGCATTTCTTTAATAATAAAATGTTTTACAGGGTGTTGTTCATGGCGTAGCATTTCGAATAAGTGGAGACGCTGCTATACCATACCTTACAAGAAGAGAATGTAAATTGGGAGGCTATAAAGCCGAATTTACATCGTTCTTCCCTTCGAATACAGAACTTTCATTTACTGTAGTTTTGTATGTCGCAACTTCTAGAAATGCGATGTGGTTGGGGGATGCACCCCTTCAAGAAATCGCACTCCAAATCTCTAACTGCCAAGGTCCAAGTGGGCATAATGCCGAATATCTTATAAGATTAGCAGAATTTATGCGAGAACATTTCCCTGAAGAAAAAGACGAGCATTTGTTCCATCTAGAAGTATTAGTTAAAAAAAACATTTTAAATCAAAATAAGTGTTTAACTACTTTAATGGGTGACAGTGCTGGACATATAATATTCGTTAGAAGTTCAGCTCAATTACAAAGACCAGAAGGTCAAGAAGAAAGAGCTGGTTCGTTTCAATTTACCACAAGAGTTCCTGAAAAAACTTTACGTTGTCTCAATATTTAAAGCAGATCTTCCTATTTATCGAATTTAACTTATCTAATTGTTATTTTACCAGTAGGTTTTTTGTTTTTGATTATCTGCGTTATTATAGAGAATTAGTGTGAAATTTGTTTCGGTAATTACCTTTTGATGTGTATTTTACATATACCTTTTTTATATGACCTGTGTGGGTAGGAACAAATTGAAATGGTTAAGGTTCCTATTGTATGTAATGTTTATGTGTGTACCTGTAAATTATATTCCAAATATTTTTTTTATTCATCTTTTTAATTTTTAAAAATGTTTACATGTAGTGTGATAGTTTAAGATTACATTATCTATTGAATGTATTACAACTATAAAAAATCAATTTGGAACATCCATGAATACTATAAAAATGGACTGACTGGCTAAGAGAAGAATCTTTCAGTTTCAACTATTAAACCCTCTAATGTTATGTTTTAAAATTTTTATAAGAACTACAAAGGTATTACGCTGCGTGATTATTCACTCAAGTGCAAAAATTAATGAATATTCGACTGTGATTCATCCGTATATGTATATTTTAATATATACGTGATACAAATATTTTTTTATATTTTAAAATGTTACTAAATACATATTAAACTATCATAGTAATAAACTAATTAATTATATTGTGTCTTTTATTCTCGGTTGAATTTTATTCTTTACGTCACAAGCAATTAGAAAATCATATGTATAATTTTGTAACTAAAAAAATAAAATTCAAAATTCCATACAAACGTTTATAACGTGTTTAATGTGAAATGGTTTGTTAGCAGACCCCNTTTTATAGTAGAATTAATTAAATGAATAAAAAAGGATATATCAAAAATTATTTATTAAAACAAGTTTTGTATTTTAAATTAATTAGTGTTGACTTAGATAGTTCAAACAAATGAACTGTAATAACCATTAAACGAAATTATGATGACAATTTTGATCTAGAACTAACAGCAATGTAGGCAATAATAAATCCAACTACAACAGCAACAGATTCACTTCTAAACCATGGTCCCGTAAAGGCTCCAGGATGGTTCAGTACAACAAACACCAAGGGTTCAACTGACGTTATATCTTGGCCAGACCTAATAGCTTTTCTTAAAGCCACTTAATATCCATACAAACTTCCCCCTTTCCTTGTAGTATCAGCATTTCGATATGTTTCTAGAGGGTAATAGTAGCCTTGGTTTGAGAACCTTGATTGTACGTGACCTTTCGTTGGCACCCGTTGATTTCGTAGATCTGATAACGGTACATGTCCTTGATAATTATGACTACTAAATTGATTCTGGCTATTTCCGGGCTGATTAAGTCTTCCTTCGAATATTATGTTTTTAGATTCAACATGGTATATGAAAAATAAAAAGGGCCTATCAGCTTTTACTTCAGGAACAGTCAGGCCCATTAAAGGTACAACTACGGCCCCCGTAGCCGCAGACGCCACGGTACCTTCTTCATTTACAGATATCTTCGTCTTGTGAATTATGCTATCAATTTTAATATTTCCATTTTCTGTGATTCCTGAGAGATCTGCATTTTGTCCAAAAACATTCCTCAATCCTAACTAAAATAATATGTTTTTTAAACATATTTGAAGTTGCTTAAGTCACAAAAAACCTCTTACACTAGTTAATGGTGGTACCATATCTGCAGAATATTCCAATTCAAATTTCGGTATCTCAACTAGTACTTCTGCTTTTTCTAATACATCGATCACATGAGAAAATGAAACATGCTGAAGATCACGAATAAGGCCTTCCACTGTGCTTTTGTCATTAGGAAGTAATATTAACATCGCATATTTGTCATCCTAAAACACTTAAGCTTATTAAACTATCTAATTATTTATCGCAAAGTTAAAAAAGTATCCTAAGAGGTGACTGAACTGCTATCATTATCTTTGGATAGATAAGATGTACATTATTGATTTACTGTCATTAAAAATATATCTGCCACTACTTCTGTCTCCGTTTTAATTATACCCTTATTTATTACTTAGGGGTGCTTACATTGTACGGAAGTTCGACGGCTGCAGCGTCTAATTCTTCAATAAACTTGTATTTAAAGTTTCCAACAACATGCATCATTTGTACTGGATGGCAAACACCTTTTACTTTAAAACATTTGTGTTCATATGTTCCATTAGGATTAAATGCTTCTTTCCAATTTCCTTTAAAGTATAAAGCATTGGCAATAATGGCAGAAAGGGTCGCATCAAAAGAACCTAAAAACGTTTCTTAATTTACTCTGTTTTTTTTTTATTAGAACATATCAATCATTTGGTACTTCATAAAATGTTGGATATAAAAACAAAATCATGAAAGGAAATAATGAAAATAATGGAAGAAAAGAGAGGAAGAGACAAGAAAAAATAGGAGAACAAAGGGTGCTACAGATGTTAATACTGAATAGGAGAGGAGTGATAAATTGCTAGGATACTTTTTGAGACATTAATGGTAGTAGATATTGTAGAAGCAGAAGCAGGAATAAAGAGAGGTAAATAAAGACTTAAATTAGACTACCGTTTCAAAAGATATGGGATGTTCCACTTTTCAAGAATTGCGGAAAGTTACTCGGGAGATAAAAGGGGAGAGGTGCGTGGTAAACCTGTTAAGAAGATCCTATTATGATGGATCACAGTAAATTAATGGTTTAAATTTAATTAAATACCTGAGTCTACTAATTCTGAAATTTGCCCTTGTGTAGCCTCAGAAACCCATTTGTTGACGAATCCTGCAGATTCTATTTGCTTCGAAAAATTCAGCATTTTAACTTTTGCATTATAAAAGCTTAATAGTGTGTCGCGGAAGAGGGGTAACACACTAAAGCTGTCTGATAAGAATAATGCATTTGAAGATATTAGAACTGTCGATCCTGATTTATCCTGAAATTTTTTATATAGCGGAAAATATTCTAATATGTGTTGCACCATATAAATAATAGTATATAATGCGTTAGTAGTTTGCAAAAAAAAAAAAAATAAATCGCTACAATAGTCAAACTTCACGGTCAGTACTTCTTTTATATACACCACTATTGAAATGGCATTTGTAGAGAGATCATCAGTTACCAGTTACAGTAAACTAATTATTTTATTATTTACTGCCCATGAACTAATTAATGTGAACCTGTAATGGACATGCACTGTCATATGAAAACATGTGCCGCATCCGTTTTATTCTTCGATTTTAATTTCTTTTTTTTTTTTAAGAATAGAAAGTTGTGATATTCCATAGTTATTTCGTGTATTAACAGTAATTTCTATTCAAGGCAGTTTACTATTAAAGGTTCACAGTCCAAATGAACTGCATGAAAATAATTCAAGGTAATTTAGAAGAATTTAAAATTTATAAATTGAAAAAGAAAATAACAGAAACTTACTGTCAAATCATACAACAGTCTTTGTAATCTATCCCTAATGCCTTTTTGACTGACAGGAACGCGCAATAATTCTGCTATTTCTTCAGCGCTCTTTCCTTTAGAGCCTTCCAGAATCATCCCCAATGTTGTTTTCAGACTAGCTGGCGAGATAAGGTAATTTCCCTCGCTTCCGAAAGTCTAAAAGTATCATCCGTGATTTATTTATTCAATAACTATACCATGTTTTATATACCCGCAGTAGCTCTAAATCAAAATAATTGAAACGGGATTGTATACTATTATCTGATTCCACAATAGGGCCCAATTGAATTTCAGACCCTGATTGGGCATTCTGTGCCGCTGTTATACTTGGTGCAACAACTAAAAAATATAGAAATGTATGAGAAAGCGCAACTACTACCGCATTTACAATCAAATATTTTTACATCCGGGGCAAAAATAATTTCTACCACAACAAATAAATAACTATTATCTAACTATTTTCGTGCATAAGCCCCCACTAAACCACTAAATGCATTTCTAATAACTTTTCATAATATTTTCAATGTATAAAAAGCAAGCGAATATCGCAGCAATAATAAAGCAGTTTTACTGTGAAAAACAAATGTAAACTCACTTGGGTAAAACCATGTCGCCATACAAAACATCACCGTTAAATTATTTATTTATGATGGTATATGTATTGATTATATTAGTTACAATATAAGAAATTTTTTATTTATGATAAACCAAACAAAATAACTGATTAAAAAGTCAACTTAATGTCAATGCATTACCTACGTTGAAATTGTTGGTTTCTTTAAAAACTTAATTTTAAACTAATAGATTAAAAGATAAGAATATGAAATAATTTTACCTTTGCACACAAATAGAAAGAACAACATAATTTTGATTCTTCTGTATCATCAATGTTAAATAATGCTGATAACATACGATGTTTGATAACACAATAACGAGTGAAAAACAATCTTCATTAAACTCGAAGTCAACTTGGTTTGTTTGAAAGAACGGTCTTTCCTGATGTGAAGTCGCATAATCGGCCTTGGAAATCCCAAATCGGCAATGACAAGATCATTCATTGTAAACTTATTAATGTATGTACATGCACAGTACGCTATACACACGTAAATTTCTATTTGTTTTCCTATCGGCTTATAGTATATATATATAGTAGATTTTAATTAATTTTTAATGCATGTATAGTTAGTCCAATAAGCATATTTTTCAAAAATTTTTGTCTGAAATACTTTTAAATACTTAAAAGTTTCGTCCCAACATCTGAACTCTGGTCAGAAATTAAAAACTTTATTCAATTTAATCAAGGTAAAAACGTTTTGTCCCTAAATGTGGACTCTCTTCAGGGATTATGATACTTATTTAATTTATTCTTCTTTATCAATAATAAATAATCATTCGAATTAATCAAAGGTGAAAAACATGAAAGATATTTGTTTTTATTTTTATCGAATAGAGAAAGATAATAATTAAATTATCAGACCAACACCGAAACATTAAATGTGTTATTATTTATTATTTTGAATCAAAAACATGGAAAATGCATTAGTAATGAACAGCATTTATTAAAGTGTTATCATGTTATAGTACATGTGATTTTGTTTTAAAATAGTTCTAACAGATAACTTCACTATTTGTAAATAATTTAAATATAGCCTCCTATATAGCAGAAGTACCGGTACCTCCCTCAGCCAATACCTGGATGAATAAATGATTTTACCATATTTTAAGTGGTATCACCTGAATAGAAATAAATAATCTTTTTAGTATTTATTTAATATTTATCAATATTTCATTGGTCCAAACGACAGAAAGAAAAAGAGACAGTGGCGTAAACAGGGGGTGGTCGCTCTCGAGCTGGAGTGATTTTAATTTTTTAGCACAGGAATGGGGCACCACTACCTCTACTTACGCCACTGAAGAGAGAAGAGGTTTTTAAATGTGCGACAATTTATTATTACTTTGCGACTTATAAATATGTTATTATTATAAGTATTTAAATGAAAAAAATCATCATCACTTGCCGTTCGCGTTGGGTGCTTCCCCAATTCGCACGGGCACAGCAATTGGTTCAGTGGCTAAAGGGTTTACTACTTTTCCAATAAAAATAATTGTGCCGCTTGTTTGATCTTCAACGAAAAACATGAAAGGGTACGATGCGTTAAAAATGTTATCAACATCGCCGAATTTATTTCCAACATGGATTTCTAAAAGATGAAGAGATATTTTTTTTCTTTTTAAGAGAGCAACAGTTTTGTGACTTTTTTTACCAGTGGCTGCAAAAATTGTGCTTCCATCTTCGCTTATTTCTATACCACCTTTTTGACGGATGTCGTTTACTTGTAATTTTTTATATCCGTATCCGACTCCGTGTGAAATACCAGGTAAACTGGCACCATCCGAAAACATATGCTGCAATCCGAACTAAAAAGTCCCGAAGTCAGAAACCTGTGCGGTTTTCTTATTGTTCCTTATTATACGTACTTTTTGTAAAATTGATGCGTACGACGAAATAAAATTAAATCGGAATTTTGGGATTCTTACATCAACCACAAGACTATCCAGTTTGTACATGTTACTTTTTAATTTTGCAAAATCTAACGACTTTATTAATTTAGGAAGACCGTCTTTACTGTATGGAAGAATAACGAAAAATCCAAACTTATTACCCTAAAAAATTACCATATATATTTCTAGACAGCTTCACAGAAACAACAGAAGACAATTTTTTTTTATATTTATTAGAAGTACTAATACTTTATATGGTATTCTTAATATTTGAGCCTCTAAGTCTTTGGAATCAGCATAATAATAATTTCCAATGGTATTCATGTATTCAACAGTAACAAGACTTGTTGGAGTTGTATAAAAATTTCCCAGACCGGTGTTATTTTTTGGGAAAGCTTTTTTCCAAAAACCTTTAAAAAACACGGCATTCGCTACTAATAGCACCACATCCTCTAGATCGTCTACAAAACCGTTTAAATAGCAGTAGACACATTTTATTTCAGTTTCAAGTATGTTCACCTTGTGAAATTATATTGGATATGTAACCATTTGTTTCCTCGCTTGCCCAATTATTGATCTTTTGGGACGCTTTATCAGGAACGACAAAATTTGTCGGTTCTACTTCGGCATTATATGACGCGTTTACATTAGCAGAATATTTTTGACTGGGAATTATATCTGTATCTAAAAACAATCTCGTAGCTAAACGAATTTCATTAACACCATCCCCATTCTAAAATTAAAAATATCATATTTCGAACGTACTGTACTTTAAAAGTTATACAGTGTTATCATACACATAAGAAATAAACAGCTTTTCAAAACATGCCCGCAAAAATTGAAAATTCCAGGCAAAATTATAGAACATGCAAATGAACCTGTTGTTTTGGCATCGGTATTACCTTTAAGGACTTAATAATATTACTGTAGTGTAATCTCACTGATTCTTTTGATTGAAAATTCAGAACATCTTGAAATTCAGTTTCCGTTAATCCTGCGGCACCCTCGTATATTATCGCTAGCGCAATTTTAAGACTGAGAGGGGAAATCAATACATTTGATCCATCCCCATTAACTGACTAGAATCCCAAAAACACATACATTTTTGGTCGTATTGATATTAAAAATAAAAACATAGTTAACCACATCCAAATAAAAACCAAAGCCAATTTTTTAATTCTAACTAATCGGTTTCTAACTTCTTACCTTAAATAATTTCCAATCAAATTCATCGGACCAATGTAATGCCGGATAATAAGCATCTTCAAAACCATCCGCACTCTCATTTCTTTTAGAAATATTACTTTCGGTTACTTTCATAAAACCCACACAGAAAAAAGAAGACACAACAACATAAAAACTTATCACTGGCAAAATCATTTTTTATTTAGTTTATTATTTTAAACCCACACTATACAACTTTGTTATAATTCAGATCTTTCCCCGGGCGTTGGAAAATTATAGCTAATGGCTTTTAAACATAGCGTGACCCCTTATTGATATCTCTCAAAAAGGTTGAATAATGTTCGCATCAATCAAGAAGTTCAACATTAAACCACTCCATTCTATAATTGCTGCTGTACGTACATAACTACATAAGTCGGTATATGCTTATATACTTTTTATATGGAAAAACTGTATTATATACTACAAACCGACTTAATCAGATCTGTACAATTTTCGGAATTACTCTATCTGAAGGAGAGTTAGTTACCATTTACGCTCGGGATTACCAAAAAGCAAGTACGTTAAAACTGGATCTAGAGAATTTTATTTTGATTTTTATATTGAAATCTGATTCTTTTACATAATAAATAAGAAGCAAACGTCCTTGACTTGCAATTTTTTTTATTTAAACTTTAAAACCGGACACTATGGATGTATGAATATATGAACGTTGGGTAGGCAGCCCAACATACATTAACTAAGCAATTTAAAAAACTTTGACTTTATAAAGTAATCTGATCACAAATTGTAATAAAACAATTAATAAATGTAAAAGCACCATATTATCCATTCTTAATTAAAATATTAACGACTCTTTATTAGTTCTACGTTAAAAGAAGTATTTATTGGAAAATATATTTTGAAGAAAATCAATTTACACAAAGTTGTGTATCAAAACTCTCATATTTTTAAGGGGTTTGTATGCTGTCACGTAAGAAGCACCCCTGCAAACCCCAGCGGTAAGGGACCACACAAAAGTTTGATTTATTGAATTATTTTCAGTCATTCTACTGGGTTAATAACATCCTGCAAAAATTTCTTTATTTTCAGAAAAAGAAAGGCAGATATATTTTGTAAATACTTTTATAGTAGAATTAATTAAATGAATAAAAAAGGATATATCAAAAATTATTTATTAAAACAAGTTTTGTATTTTAAATTAATTAGTGTTGACTTAGATAGTTCAAACAAATGAACTGTAATAACCATTAAACGAAATTATGATGACAATTTTGATCTAGAACTAACAGCAATGTAGGCAATAATAAATCCAACTACAACAGCAACAGATTCACTTCTAAACCATGGTCCCGTAAAGGCTCCAGGATGGTTCAGTACAACATACACCAAGGGTTCAACTGACGTTATATCTTGGCCAGACCTAATAGCTTTTCTTAAAGCCACGTAACCTTCTTCATCAAATAGCCTGATCACTCTATCTCCTGTTTTTGCTGATTTTACTTCCTCAACCCAGCTCACCTATATCCACAAAAGAAACAACAATTAGACGGTTTATATTAAATTACAATGACAATTTTAAGAGCTTTTAATATTTATGAGGAATGTACCTGATAACTTGTAGGTCCAACTTTTGATATAGGTCCTATCCTGCCTTCTATATCTGCATACAAATTATTAACGCTTCCAGACTCACATTTCAGATCAAACTCAGCAATATAAGCAATATTGGTAACCACTGTAGCATCTTCAGTAGTAAATGGCTTTAGTGAAACTTCAGGTCTAACACATGAATCACAATTAACTGCAGCTATCAATACAGAGAAAATTACACCAATTCTTGCGTATCCTATCATTTTACTCAAATTTTAAACTATAAAAGTAACAATTTAATTCAGGTAATCACTGAAAATTAAGAATCACTGACACTCAAATGCAACGTGAGGACTTAACACGTAGCTCGTAGTCTACAGATAGCCTAACTGTTTTTATTTTGATTCCACGTTTGCTGATAAATGCCAACTTGGAAGTTGAAGTTATCAACCTAACCGTCAGATGGCGAAACTCAGATATATTTTTAAATCAAACTCAGAATTGCGGGAAAAAAGTATTCTCGCAGTATTGTATTTGATTTTATTATTTCTATTTTGAAACTTATTCAGTAAATGGATAAATATGTTTGTTTATTAAACTTGTATTTACATAATTTAAATTTTATAAGAAGAGGACATTATAGGAACAGTGTAGGTAAAATAAGTATTTTTAAATATTACTAATTGTAAGAGGTATGAATCCGAATACTTTGTTTATTTACTACGAAGAAATATATTAATAAAATACTGGATTTAGAGACAGCAAAAACAAAAAGTTTGTTCGTCGAATTTCTCCATCGTTTGAGTAATAAAATAACAATTAAGTTAATGAAAGGTCGCATTTGATTATTCCTAATAAGAAGTAAACAAGTAGTAAGAAGTGTATATAGCATGCAATCAAATTATTTGGAAACCATCAATTCTTATAAACTACTTACGTTTGTATGTAAGTGTTTATACGAAAGAAATGTGGGTAAATCCAATGTGAATAACTCATTAATAAAATATTAAAAGACGGAGAGCCACTTTATGCTTGCAACTTAACGGTCAATTTCTCAGTCTTATATACTAATACATACATATGTGCGTAAGAAACGAAGTTCTTCTATAAATAATATATCTAGTTTTCTTCAAAATGTTAACGAAAGCGTTCCTTTGCAGTGCGGTGCTCTTGTATTACTTTGCGTTAAAAGCTTTTGCTCAAGGTATGTGTATAAAGCCTTCAATCAACTTTTTTATAATTAACTTCTGCGTATGACATTCGTCGCACTACTTGTTTTCTTTGCTATTAAATTGTTAAGTTCAAGGTTTTCTATTTTTACAGAGATCAAATGTACTCTAAATCGTAAAAAATCTACTATTCTTTATAATAATTGCTAATTTGTACATGCTCATGTTAATTACTGTTATTGCGAAGAGAATGATTACATTTTTGTATACAACACTTTTAAACATTTTTATATATTTGAGTATGAATCGTAATGAATTTATACCTTGTTCGGCATTTTTTAAATTAGAAAAAATCTTAAAATCAACTTCTTAATAACAAGTAATAACTGATTTTTAATTTCCCAATTTATAATTTTGTCTTTCCGGCGAGAAATGTTGTACCTTTCTCTTTGTTTTTGTAAATATAAAAAGGAATTAATGTAAATAACTATTCTAGCTCCAAACTATGTATATATTTAAATACTGAAGTAAATGTTTTTGTTTACAGTGCAATATCCTAATTTCTATGATAATCGCGAAGAAAGACAAGAAGTACCGTCATTTAATAACAACCCTTTTCTGAGTACCTTAAACAGACCTAATTCCGATAATAGAGCTAATAACGACAATTCCGATTCATTTGTTTATCCATCTGATTTGGAACATAATTATTTTGAAGAAAGCGCAGTTTCAAAAAGCGAACAAAGTGAGTAAAAAAAAGGTTTGTCTTTTTTATGCGTTATAGTTTATAAATAATTTTAGAATGCAAGGAATATGCAAAACTTGTATCAAACACTGTAAGTGCTATCCCACTATTAGTTAACCCCGAGCAAATAGACATAAGTGTATCAAAATGTGAATACAGCGGTATTCCACTAATAGTTGGCGGAAGTCCAGCCCTAGCAGGAGAATTTCCTTTCATGGTACTTTTTAAACCGTTTGCAAAAATAATTTTTATTCAAATGCCGAAATTTTAGGCTGCTGTTGGTGGGTACAATTCGGATAATGAGCTACAATGGTTTTGCGGAGGTACATTAATAAGTGAGAGATATGTGGTTACCGCCGCACATTGTGTTAAATCGTCAAGGTACAAATTAAAAAAAAAAGTTAATTGTATTTAAATTAATTGTATAAATTTTAGGGGTGCGCCTAGCCTAGTTAGGCTAGGAGACTTGGATCTTAATAGGGTCGACGATGGTTCAGAACACAGAGAATACTCAGTGGCAGATATAATCGTTCACGAAAATTACCGACCACCTGTAAAATACAACGATATTGCTTTGCTTAAACTCAATAGAGAAGTTGAATTTTCTAAATTTATAAGACCTGCTTGCTTATGGACTAAATTCTCTACTGGACAAGACAAAGTTATAGCCACTGGTTGGGGAAGAACAGGAACTGGTAAATTTATTTTTAATTTATTTTAATTGATTAGTAAACATAACTCGTGTTAAAGGCGAAGAGCAAAGTGATAGACTCTTAAAAGTTGGGCTTAGTGTATTCCACAATTCTGAATGTGATAGAACATTCCCAACTACTATGCAAATATATCGCAGGGCACTACCACAAGGCATCACCGATAAAATGATGTGCGCAGGAGAAAAAAAAGGAGGAAAAGATACTTGCCAGGTATATATTTATCAATTACACACAAATTCTGAGAAAAAATATAATCAAAATAAGAACTCCAAAAAATAAAGTACTTATTACGAAAGAACTAATCTACTCTTTTAATTCTGATCACTATGACTTTGTGCAAAAATACTGTATAATTAATATGAAAATAGAAGTTTTTATACACCTTTCTTCAACGACAATAAACAACAATAATAACGTAATCTGGACTTTAAATTTTGTAATTTTTGGTTTACAAAAGACTAGATTCATTTATATGTATATGTATAAAATCTTCTATTCTATTTTTATGTTTGTTAAGTTTTAAAAGGACTATTCTATTAAGAGTGTGGATGTTTCTTACATTTTATGTTGGAATTACACAGGAAACAATTAATTACAATTTTAGGGCGACTCTGGTGGACCCCTAGTAATAACTGATAGAAATAATCAATGTTTATTTTACGTTGTTGGAATAACATCGTTTGGTAAAAATTATTGTGGGGCACAAAACTCACCTGCAGTTTACACAGCAGTATCACAGTTCATTCCTTGGATTGAGAAGCATATTTGGTGAAGACACAATATCAATAGTAAATTTTGTGTACGTAATAAAATCAATAAGTACATTGCTTATTATACTTTTATGATATTAAAACAATTTAATATTTGCATCTAATCAGTCAGTTTTGTGTTCACAGTGGTCCAGCAGTGATAAATACCTATTATAATTACCGTATTTTCCAAACTGAAAAATTATTTAAATTTTAATTTTTAGTAATTACCTCATTAATAAAACACGTAGCTCGNATGTAAAAAATATACACAAAAACGATCCTAAAATAAAATCGCTTTTAACAAAAATATTTTATTCATTTCAAAACGAAAAAACTAATAAATTTAGAATTTTCAAGTATGTTATTATTTACAAGCAATTGAAAACATCGTTTGCAGGTTTTTATCAGTTATGTACCTATTGTACTTAATACTTTAGTTCTTATAAAAAAAACTTGGAAAATTTACTAAACCTAGACAATATATTAAAAAAAATATAGACCCCCCAAAAAAGTTATCTCCATCTACTTTATGGCCAATTATTTATATCATCATCATGTATGGTATGCCAAATGAGTCCATCACCAACTGGTTCATGCGCAGATGGAAGTAAAACGTGCCTTACCCATGATCTATATTACAAAAAAAAAATTACTGATAAACATATATGATACAACAAAATAATGTTAAAACACACCTTCCTTGCACTAGCCCTAAAAATAGCATCCAATTCTTCTTTTTACCAAAATTGTATGGATTAATATATGTCTTTCCTAATTTTGCATGTCTTTCACTTTCTGTCTTATTTATATTTGCTTCAATACTTGTTTCACCCCTTCCAATTAATTTACTATGCCACATAGCTAAACCACCTAATGCTACAAATACACCTGAAAAACTTTTTAAATTAATTTAAAATAGCTTTTATACCTTTTAACGTACATACCACTATTAATTAAGGCCATATAAATTATGGCTCTCCTTCTCCAAGGACTACTGTTTCCAGATTGAGCAGAATAATCCTCACTGGCAACATTTAAATATAAAAAATCAGTCACGGGGATTAGCGCACCAGTTCGATTATATTTTACAGGGTGGCCTTCAAGTTCTGGTTCTTCCCCATCTTCAAAATCCAGCCAAATTACAGCATAGGCCAATTCAAAACCACAAACAATTATAAAGAAGACTCCAAGTATCATGTACACCATGTACAAAAAAAAATACCTGTGATTTCTGTAACCTACGCAGTTATTCAGCCATGCTAATCTACATTAAGGAATTTAAATGAAACAATTTAAAATAGTCAATGATGAGAAATCTCTCACGAAAAAATACATAAGGATACGGCAGTGATGATCCATTTTCAAAATGCATCTATTACAAACTGAGCAATGATGTGTTCTTGGAGGCTTTGGTGAAATACATTTCTTACATATGCTTACAGCCTCAGTAATTAATTCTCCCTGAAAAGAATATGAACTTAAGAAAGTTTACTACAAAAAAAAATGTATTACTTGAGGTGGATATCCCGGATGAGTCCTAACAGCCATATAATAATGAAAAGAAATATTTATAAGTAACCAATGTCCAATAATGACTAGAATTACACATATGTAGGGGTTCCTGTTCCACCAATAAGGCAAACCAATCCAGTAAGCTATCAACACCACTGATGTAGTCAAACCTATTACAGCAGCCACAAATAACTAAAAGCTAACTTGTCAAATAATTAGACACAGTAATATAATTATAGTACTCACTGGTCCAATTGCACAAGTAAAGTTGTCTACAAACCAAAACATAGGTTCCATGCAAACATCAGCAGCATAACTTTGATCTAGAAAATGGTTGTACATTAAAGACCCAATAGTTACCTTGCATTTTCGAAAAAATAGTTGAGAGGAATCACTGCAAACGAAATGTTATTCAATAAATAGCATACCACCAAAATTCGTTAAGAACATACAATATTTGTTTGGGAACTTGTTTAAATCTCCAGCGCACTATTACCATTTTTAAAAATTCTTAAACTGTGTAAATAAGAAAATATGACATTTTATTTAAGTGCTAAGGAATAAAGAAATATTTTAAAAATATTTCAAGAGCTAAATTGATACACAAATACATTATTCTTAGAGGTTACATGACTTTTGGTAATGTTTTTTAGACGGGCCGATTGTACAATCGCTTTTTTTATTCACTTGTCATTAGTTTAGAATATTATAAATATGTTCAATAATTCTTTTAAGTTTTAGTCACTAGTATCCATAACAAAGTTGCTAATATAATTTATTTTAAAAACTTGGAAATTGATTACAAATGGCACAAACATAACCTGCAGGACAATAGACAGTGATAGACAGCAGGGAACGTTAGAACTACAGAATTTCGTTGGTACTGACACTTCAACTACCGGATTTTGGAAGTTAGGACACACTAACTATAATTGAAAGTTATTCAATTTTATTTTATCTTAATTTTAAAATATGAGAAATATAAAGCAAACATTTAAAAAGAAATGAAAACGAAAGAAGAATTGAAAAGTATCGTTAAATCGTCAAGGTACAAATTAAAAAAAAAAGTTAATTGTATTTAAATTAATTGTATAAATTTTAGGGGTGCGCCTAGCCTAGTTAGGCTAGGAGACTTGGATCTTAATAGGGTCGACGATGGTTCAGAACACAGAGAATACTCAGTGGCAGATATAATCGTTCACGAAAATTACCGACCACCTGTAAAATACAACGATATTGCTTTGCTTAAACTCAATAGAGAAGTTGAATTTTCTAAATTTATAAGACCTGCTTGCTTATGGACTAAATTCTCTACTGGACAAGACAAAGTTATAGCCACTGGTTGGGGAAGAACAGGAACTGGTAAATTTATTTTTAATTTATTTTAATTGATTAGTAAACATAACTCGTGTTAAAGGCGAAGAGCAAAGTGATAGACTCTTAAAAGTTGGGCTTAGTGTATTCCACAATTCTGAATGTGATAGAACATTCCCAACTACTATGCAAATATATCGCAGGGCACTACCACAAGGCATCACCGATAAAATGATGTGCGCAGGAGAAAAAAAAGGAGGAAAAGATACTTGCCAGGTATATATTTATCAATTACACACAAATTCTGAGAAAAAATATAATCAAAATAAGAACTCCAAAAAATAAAGTACTTATTACGAAAGAACTAATCTACTCTTTTAATTCTGATCACTATGACTTTGTGCAAAANTAGAAAAAATATACATATTTAACATGTAAATAAATATTTAGCCGTAGTTGGCTAAATGTATATTTTCTTGAACCTCGTGGGGAATAGCTGTGTATTATAATCTTCATTGATGTTGAACAACATATGGACTGTTACACTATTTTTCCTGTTTTATAATATTTAAATAAATTTAAATATTTAATTACGATGATGTTTCTTTCAGTAAATTGTAGTAGCATTGTGAGTGTGATTTATACCATTCACTTTTGTTAAAAAAAAAGAAAAGTGGAACGGTAACATTGGGGTTCCTATATGTAATTCTATATTTTGGTACATATTGGATTAGTTAATCGGTAATAATTTCTTAAATTCCACTTTTTTTATTCAAACAAAAACTACGCCGAAAATTCTTTGGAAGGGTGCCATTGTGATTAACGGACTATCCAAATTGTAAACCGCGTGCGCAAGTCGGCAAACTATCTTCAAATGTTTGATTAAAATGGAAATGGTAAAATCTTTATTTTTCTGCCGTATTTACTATTAAAGCATGATTCTAAGTAATTAAACTAAGAATTTGTTATCTATTGGGCACTGAACACATCCACTTGGCTTTGTAATGGTTAATTTAATATTGAATAAATAAGTTGTCAATATTTTTATTAAATGTTTATTATTCATAAAGCAGTTAGTAAATTGTTCTGCTTAGCACTACTGCTTTAAAATGTAGTAAAAATTCGTCAAACATAATTGACAATTTTTTTTATTCTCAGAGAAATCATGGGCACCAGAGTGTTTGTTGGTGGTCTTACGTATCGTGTGAGGGAGAGAGATATTGAAAAGTTTTTCCGTAAATATGGCAGAATAAAGGAAGTTGCAATGAAAAATGGATTTGCTTTTGTGGTAATACATTAAGAAAAACTAAAGGATATGGAATAAAAATGTTACATTTATTTTTTACTATTTACAGGAATTTGATGACTATAGAGATGCAGATGATGCTGTTTATGAGTTAAATGGTAAAGAGTTGTTAGGTGAAAGGTAAAACTTTATCGTATAGTACCTAAGTACTAAATTTTCATTCTTCATTGTAATTATTGAAGGGTTTCTGTTGAACGTGCTCGAGGTACTCCACGTGGGGCTGATCAGTGGCGCGGTAGTGGAAGAGGATATGGCCCTCCACGTGGTCGCAATCGTGACAAGTATGATTTTTTTGTTTTTTATGTAAAATTTAACGTGTGCCTAAATTTTCTTGAATTTACTACATTTTATTAACACTTACATGTAAGTTTTAATTTGTATACTAATTGATACTTTCTTTTTAGTCGTGATTCAGATGTCAGACACAATGATAGGTAATATATTATTCTTATTTTATTCTCATTGTCAAACACTTAATACATTAAAGTCCAATGTGCCTTTTTTTGAACTCAGTTGCTTAAATCAAGTAGAGTAGTGAAAAATAATTGTATCATGAATGTGAACTGGTTTTTCTCTATTGTCACTGCTTTTGTTAATTGCTTTGTTCCCCTGTCAGGTATGGACCACCAACACGTACAGAGTACCGGCTGATTGTAGAAAACCTGTCTACCCGTGTAAGCTGGCAGGTAAGTCATTTTTATTTTTGTAAAATTAAAAGGACCTGTCGTTAATGAGAATGATTGAAGAAAAAATAAATCTTGGTCTGGCTCTCTATTTCCCCTTCACTGGAAGCGGTCAATTCCAATCCATTCCGTGAGATGAGGAGTCATTTCAGTGGGACCGTATTAAGACCACTGATGTGAAAATTGTCCCCACCCATTCGAAGGCAGTCGATCAATGTTCCGTCCGGTTCCGTACATCTTGATGGGCAACCATAGTGCAGCGATGAGCATCCCATAGCCTTTTGCCCTTTCAACCTTATCAGTTGATGTTTGTTTAGTTCATGTCCTCCATTTCCATCGGAACGTTAAATAATCCATTTCGAATCCGCCTGCTGAAGATAAGGATTGATGAAGGAATTTCCATTCCAATTTCTACTGATTTAAAGGATGTGATTGAGATGATTATGATGATGATGATGATGATGATATTGATAAGGTCGAAGAAAAGAAAGGCTTTAACACTAACTCGACGATAAGACGAAGAGAAAAAAAATAACGCTACCGGTCACATTAAAAACATAGTAAAAGATAAAGAATCGATAAAAACAACTCAGCACCTTTTGGTATCTGTAATGTTCATCTAGCTTTGTACGTAACCTGAAGTTGTAGTGTATGTATAAAATAATAATTTTTTGTAAAGAGCGAGCTCCCATTCCCTTGGAGTATGTGGTATCTAGGCTCAATCAATGCTCAAAGCTCAATGTGGTTCGCCCATACGTTCGAGTGGCAGTCACACATGTCTATTTCCGCCATCCCATTGGTACCTTGTGGTTCGCAAGCATGGTGTGGCGCAGGTAATGCCCTAGCATGATGCGCAATTTTTAAGTAGTATCCATGCTTTGTTGCCTTTTGCACCGTTTTTATTCAGTTTACTTTCTCGACATTACAATTCTTACGTAAATTAAAAAGAAACTGAATAAAAATCAATTATTAGTTTTGTTCTTCCCAAATAAAAGTCGTCTACATAAACTTACCTGCCAAAAAGAATAACTAGCCGTTTCTTCTATGTACCTGTATCAGCACGAAGAGGATTTTTATTCCATCTTGCCGTCCATATAGTCATCTAGAATAGATGATGAAGAGCACTCACTCACTTCATAAATACATCGTCAGGAAGGCGTCTTTCTTATGTTCGTTGTCCCTACTGAGGTTTCCAGAATATGCTGTGTTGTTCTATTCTACTTCTTCAGTATTTTTCCACTTCAAGAGAAATACAAACTACACCACTTCTAAGTTAGATGCAAATTGTAACGAAGCATGGTTACTTTCAGTATATTATTTTGAATTTAATATTTGTTGAATTCTCTTTTAAGTTTGGGAAATTGAAATTGTCCTTTTCGAGTGCAGGTAACTTTTTCTTTACCCCACCACATTATTTTTTTCTGATTTATAATTTATTATTTCTTACTAGGATCTTAAAGACTACATGCGGCAAGCGGGAGAAGTCACTTACGCCGATGCTCACAAGCAACATCGTAATGAGGGGTTAGTATTTTTCGTTATTATCAATAAAGTGACAGCTATTGTATCATTAAATGATGATAAATCATCTTTCGGGTCTGAAATAAATCTGAAGACAGCAATCCCAGCGTTCTGAAAAATGTTTATCTATTAAATATTTCTTATGTTCCTTGAGAATTCAGTTTTGAACTTTAGTTCTTGTTATTCCAGTGTTGTTGAATTTGCTTCCTACTCGGATATGAAAAGTGCCATCGAGAAACTAGATGATACCGAACTAAATGGTCGTCGTATAAGGCTCATAGAAGACAAACGTCGTGGGGGTGGTCGTCGTTCTAGATCTTCCAGTAGCCGCAGCCGTTCCCGTTCCAGATCACGTCGTCGTTCAAGAAGCAGGGACTCAAGGTACATTAAAAAATATTGTATCTTAATGAGTAATGTTTACATCTTTTTTTTTTTTTAAGGTCTCGCAGTCAAAGTCGATCTCGAAGTCGTTCACGAAGATCTAGTAGATCAAAATCTAATGCTCGTTCCAAGTCCAAGTCTCCAGCTAGATCAAAATCCAGAACTCCAGCAAAGTAAGCAAACAAAACCGTATGTTGCTAGTTAAACCAAGCTTTCTTATCGCATATTCATTTTTCGTGATTTTGAGGTACTTTTTGGTTTCATTTAGAAGTTTATTATTTATTTTTCATTTAAAAAATTTAATCAATGTTACAAGAGTTTCTTTATTATGATATATACAGCAGTCCATTATTGTACTGTAAATTATCAAGTTATTATGTATAAATAATAGTATTAAATTATAAACTAACATGCACATGGCATTAATGTGCAGCAATTTTTCAGGTTCTAATTCTTTTCATTCATTTGGTCTACGCATTATCTATCTAACGAGATTACTTAACAGCAGACTTATGAAATTTTTCATATATTCAGTTACTCAAGGTACCTCCAGTTGTATTTTTTTCTACATTTTAAGTACCGCTTAATCTTTTAAAAGTTTTTCCCATTCTATTTCGTTACGAAATACTTCTTGTTCCAACCAAAGTTCATAGTGTCTTTTGAAATTTTCTGAAAGGTCATAGCCTGATCCCAAAATGCTACTAAGGCAGTTATCAACTGGTTCAAATTCTATATCCTGTGAAAATAATTGCTTAAATATTTTGCGTACTTTTAATATCAGTAATATTAACCTTTGGTGCGTTTGAGTATCTTCTGTTGTTAAATCTATCGACTGAAGCACGTAAAGCGCATTCTTCAGCTTGAAAATCCCAAGGTCTTGCATCTAGATCTGTATTGGAGAAAAAGCCAAATATAAATATTAAACATATCATGTCCACTATATATTATTTACCGTTTCCGAAAGCCCAGTCGTCGTTTAAACGATGTCTAACTTTTGAGTAGATAGCGCTAATAGTTTTCATATTAGATTTTCTCCATTGCCTTCCTAAATATTTTGTTTGCATTTTTATTAACTTTAAAACATACAACTGTGTCATAGCATGACGGACTTTCAGTGTTCTCTTAAGAATTGGGGCCGATTTAAAAACTACAAGCATCTAAAAAATTTAATACACAATTATTATAGGTCATTAATTTCTGAACATTAGAATATTTACCATTATTCTAGAATGTTTCCACTTGGTAAGTTTATTTAAAATTCTTAATAAGTTAACACATGAGAATACATTCCTCCAGGAATATGGGGCAGCATCCCCAATTTCCAAACTTTCTGCAGTCAATTCTGGTTGATCACCAATTACACAAGAGGGAAAATCCAAAATTGGAATACTACAAAATTAAAATTATAAAAATAGAATAAAAATTTAAACTGTAATTTACTAACATATTTTTTGCTCCCACATATGCCATTATGTTTTGGTTGAAGAATTTTAATACTAAGGGGATGCAGTTTGCAAAGACAAGATGCTGAGACATGAATTCAAACTGATAAATATGATTTAGCTTAAAATGTTTGAGCAAAAGTAGTAGGATAGCAGATACAACTTTTACAATTATTTCTTTGTGTCTGTTCACATCTATACCGAGTTTCATTGACTGAAGAACTGTCATACTAAAAAAGCAATTGTTAACAAACAGGTACAGTAAAATTATAATAATTTCTCTTACGGCATTTCTTCTGGTAAAACGTCTGACATAATATTTATGTATTCACTTTTTAGTTTTGAGGTAGGTGCAGCAGCTGCTAAAAGAATCTTTAACAAGGCAATCATGTATTGGGGTAAGTTAGGTAGCATTGCTTGGTAGAGTATTTCTGTTGGGTTCAATTCTATGTCAGTCTCGCTGAAAGAGAGTGGATTTCTGGCAATTTTTTCTTCATTTTCTATTTGAAGTTCAGCTAATGATACGTATACATGCTTAAACAGAAAATAATAGATAAAATAATAAAATATTAGAGGAATCAGTGGAATTACTTCTTTTAATGTTTTCACTCCTTCATGAATTGGTTGTGGAAGTCCGGCTAGACTATCACGATCTCCTTGTAAGTTATAGCCGACGAATTTCATTCTGGCATTTTCGAGAAAAAGATCTATATCTTTTCGTCTTACTTTTGGTTTCCATGGTAAACCTGAAATAAAACGAACAATTTTCGTTTAATGTATAATTTAAAAATTTTATGAAACAAATAGGATAGTCACCTCTAGGTAATGGCAGACCGGCTGAAATAGGAGTGCTTGGTCTATTTTGATAGTTATTTACCATTTGTTGATTGTTATCTGCTTTCATTTCTTCATATTCTACAAGTGCCAGAACAATATCATCGGCATTTTCATTTCCAACAGTTCCATCAATTTCTATAGCTAAAGATTCATGGTCATCCAGGGAACTTTGTTTAATTAAACTCTGTAAATACAAAGTTCCATTTTTTTTTTTTAATTTCAGTATGTACATTTTACCTTTTTAAAGAACCTATTACTACGTTTATGGTTAGCTTCAAGAAGATCTGAGGCACTAGCAGGTGGTGATGAAGCTCTCATAGTTTTTGCTATTTCTAATGTATCTTCATCTTGAGGTGCTAAGCCTGCCTTCCAGCGTTTTTCTGCTTTTAGTTGTCTTAATGTTTCCATACCTCCCAAAGAGAAAAGAATCACTTTCCATAGTAATAAAATTACTTTTTTCATAGGAAAGTGAGGCGCAACGCCACTGCAAAATTGAGTGACCATTCCTAGTAATTTAACTGCTAACAGATCTTCACCAACTGCAGAAGCTGTAAACAGTTAAAATTAGATTTTAATATTTTATTTTGTAAATCAACAAATTCTTACTTAATTCTAAATAAAATGATTCTACTTCAGCTTCATATTCTCTCAATTCTGAGCATTTTTCATTGCGCATTACTTCTACAAATATATACAACACCGATAATATTACTCTAAGGTCCTGGGAATCTGCTAATGATATAGCTATTTTTCTCATGGCGGAGTGAGCCGCATTGCTATTACTAAAACAATATAAAAAAGGATCAATAAATTTCATCAAAATTCGTACATAGTTTTAAAATACTTACTCAATTTCAATATTAAACAGTTCTATAAAAGCAGAGAAAACTCCTAAATTGTACATTAACATAATATTTGTCCTTGTCCATTGTTGTTGTTCAGCATCAGACTGCATTTCAGCCCAACACCCTTGTGCCAAGTATAAGATACACCGGGCTGCTTTCATTCTAATGAATTTACTACTAACTTCTAGCTGATCAAGGAGTTTCATGATAACCGATTTTCTTTGAGGAATTGATAGCCTTTGCCAACTTGGAGGCAAATCATATTGTTCCATTTGATCTTCGAAAGCCTTAACATTAAGCTGGAATTCTGGTTGTTCAGTATAACTGTAGAGTTCAGCAATTTCATTTGCATGAGTATCAGTATCAGCATACACAAAATCCAGATCAAGACAATCTGCTCCTCCTCCCTTTAATAAATAAAACTTAATCATGAATCACACTACTTGCAAATGTTGCATACCAACATATTAAGGTAGTCACTGTAAATCAATTTTAAAACAAACTTCAAGTATTTATATGGTGACTACAATGCTCACTAATGGGAGTTGAGGTTATTATAAGCAAATAAACATTTGTTAAGACAAAAGAGATATGAAATTCGGATGTTTCTTCATAGTAACCTAAACAGAAACTAAAAGTTATTTGATGATGTCTTATGTTTATTTACTCACATCAGAATTGTGCCGTCTTTGTCGAACATAGTCACGAATTTTATCTACTGCTGACTTTTTACAATTGCCATTTGTATCCATACTGTTGTCAGGGCCAGCATAATTATCAGGATCTACAAAAAAGCATTTTATTTAAGCGAGATGCTTTGTGATTTATGATTTACTCCAGTTTTGATCAACAATATTATCGACCAACTTCCGAACCATACAGGTTTTCCGAACCCACTCCATACTGGGAATTGACAGTGACTGACACTCATAGATAAACTGACAATGACAGCGGATAATAATGATAGTACCAACCAAACTTAATTAACCCAAAACGAACGTAAACCATGGAATTTAAAATTCGCGCTCTGTCAAAATCAGCTTATTGAATGTAGCATGCCGAAATGTCAGTTCAGCATTGTTGAGTAAATATTGAAATAATTTTACTGTTGAAACGTGTATTACTCACTTTTTCGTTTTTTATGATACTTTGTGCACTTATTTGTGGCGGTTTTCCTTTCTCGGATGTCCGGAATTTCATGTTTGTGTTCAGTTTTAAAACGTTTTCCGTCCGCGATACTTTTCTTCTTATCGAAACTTTTCTGCTGCTCCTGCCGGCTTGAAAATTGTGCTAATAAATTTTCTGCAGAATTGTTAACACTTTGTTCACTGTTTATTACAAGATTTCGAAAGTTTTTGTTTATAATGTTTAATTTATTTGAACTATTCAAAACTGTAAAATCACTGACCATATTTTGTGCTACTGATGGCTTTTTCAAGAATAAAATGGGCCTCTCTGGATCTATTTCTAATTGTTCCAGAAGTTTCATCTCCTTTTCTTCTAAGCGACACAATGCTAGTGGAGAAGGCGTTTGCGGTTTTCTGTGCCTTCTGTCTAATTTGAAATCTCTTCGTCTCCTGAAGAAATTGCTGCACATTTTCAGGTAATTTAGAAGTAAATTGCAAAAGTCAAAAAAGTTTAAAGTACGTGGAATTTTAAAAATTACAATTTGATTTATCACTTGCTAGGATACTGCACTAAAAATATTTTTAACATGGCCAACTTAATTCTATTTTCTTTACAAACACTAATACTTACGTAGTAGTTTGCCAAATGTGGTTCTCAACGATTGCTTTAAAGAAATATAATTTTAGTTGTTTTATTTTTTGTATACTTATGTAAAATGTTGCAGTATATATATGCAACATGAAAATAAAACGCTCTCGGTAAGAATAATTTATATTTTTTGCATTTAAACTTAATTTAAGGTATGAAAAATAAGAGCTGTAAAATGTTTGTAACAACACCACCTGTATTAGAAACGGGGACAATTATTTGATTTAGTTTACTGAACTAGATAGAACATATTTTTTGAACAATGATTCTAAACTAAAACTATTACAAACATATACAAGTGATATTGTATTTTTGCTTATAGAATACATACAGTCTTACGGTAAAACACAGACATTTATCTACATTATTATACGTGGGAGTCATTGCCATATTTTATTATAACACTTATAATTAGAATTATAATTTACAAAAGCTACCAATTACATTCACATATCCTACACATGTACAAAATGAATTAAATAGGTAATCTCTAAATCATACTTTGTCACTTGCAAAAGTCATAACACACAGGAGGTGTACAAAGATTGATAATACTGTAGTTCCATATTATGTTTTGTGTTACATGATCAAGCTAGAAAGCCTGCTATAATAATTTTATCTCAGTCTTTTGAATACCCCTTCAAAATTAAATTCAAAAGCGGCTAATTAAAAACGTTCATTTTGTACTAAAATTGTACTAATTAGAAAAAAGTATGAAACAAAAAAAAAGGCACAGGTGAAGAGTGAAATCGATCATTAAGAGGAAGTTTCAAAAGACATAAAAAGTGGTCTATACGTGCTTGCTGTCTCTAAGTTTAAAAGTTGTCATTAGTTTTAGAACATAACAATAAACTATACTGTTTTAAAAACATAAAAATGCCACTAATGCGTAAATATTTGATTGAACGTTATAGTTTGTTATGATCGAGTGGCACAGTTTTACAATATAAATGCATAAAAGCACCAAGTAGTTACATATACTACACTTAAAGATTCTTACAGAATTGACTAGTCAAATAGAAACGGAGATGTTGTCTCTTCGTCATCACTAGATTCTTGACTCGAAGGTGGCGTGTCTACTTGAGGTAGACCAAGATCCAAGTATTCTTCGTTCGCAGTTATCGTTAAAATCCTATCTAAATCTTCCACTAATTCTGAAAACACAGGTCTTTGGTTTGGTTGGAAACTCCAGCATTCTCTCATTAGCATGTATATTTCTAACGAACAGCATGGGGGCTTTTCCATCCTATGACCCGCGCGTAAAAGTTGAAAAAGTTTTTCTACACTTGGGACCGATGGGTACGGCGTTCCTAAAAATAATGTATTATCCCGACAGTTATGAGTAGACAGGGTGATTATTACCTCCTAATGTCATTATCTCCCAGAGGAGTATTCCATACGACCATACGTCGGATTGTGTGGTATAAACCCTGTGAAATAACGCCTCTGGGGCCATCCATTTAACCGGCAGTCGTCCGTCTGTTGTTTTTCGATAATAGTCATTACAATGGATATCTCTCGCAAGTCCGAAATCGGCTATTTTTAGTACATAATCGTCACTTACTAAAACATTCCTTGCTGCCAAATCCCGATGGATGCACTACAAAAGAGAATGTTTTCATTTTGCCATAGGTCATAGCTTATATTCGAAACTATTGTTATATTCTAATGTAGTACTAGTACAGTTTCTTGTAAAATTTACGTACTCGTCTAGAAGCTAAATACTCCATGCCTTTTGCTACTTGATATGCAAACGAAACGAGATCCTTTTGTGTTAACGTTTTGTGCTCTTTTTGGGTCATTCCCACAGCAGGTTCGTAACCAGACGAGGGCCTATGTTGCCGTAAAAAGTCCCTTAAGTTACCGTGGGGTGCATACTCGACAACAACATAAAGAGGACCGCCTTGAGTGCAACACCCCAATAAGTTTATTATGTTGATATGTTTTCCGATCATTTTCATCATTTCCATTTCGGATACCAAATCCATCATTTCGTTATCAGTATGACCCTCTGGACATTTAAACGATTAGAACAAGTAAAGTAGAACTTTTTTTTGAAAATTGTTACCTTTTAACATTTTGACCGCAACCACTGAAGTTTGTCCATGTTTTATTAGTCCATTGGCTTCGGCTTTGACCACTTTTCCAAACGCTCCTTCTCCTAATACTTTTCCAAGACATAATTTTTCTCTAGAAATCTCCCATTCTGAATCCATAGGAAGTTCGTATTCGGAAATCATATCTGACGAATTATTTAATTGCGTTTTCTGTTTTTCAATTTTGACAACTGGCATCAGCTAGAATCGAAATTAAAATATATTAATTAAATAAATGCGGCTACTATTTTTTCAAAATTCCCACCAGTGGTTCCGTTACACCCGCGGAACTATTTTGAAGTTTTTCCACGATAACTTTTTTCGTCCATTGGGTGATAACCGCTGCTCTTGCGGCTTTTTCCATGGCCATAAGTTTTTTCATTTTCTCGCTTTAATAAAAAAAATGAAATTTATTATGTATTATTAGGGCAGTAGGAATAGTAACGAACCGTTTTAATTTTCTCATCACTACTGCTACAGTAATTAAAGCGAATACAGAAAGAAGACAAACGACCCCAATTAAGCTCGGTATAAGAATTGATTTAGGGCGAATATCTTTAGGTAGATCTGGAATAAATATAAATTTGTCAAAAATGTAGTCGAAGTGTGTGTTATTTTTACTTACGGTCAACGACTTGTAAATAGCCATGCGAGTAAGACCTTCCTAAGCTGTTTGCTGCGACACACGTATACCATCCTTCGTCTTCGTATGTTACATTGTGCAAAACCAAAATTTCTGGGATTTCGTTCTCATTAGTCTAGTGATTCGAAGAATTACAAGTCATATTTTACCCTTATTGTTCTTAATAAATGAATAACATTTAAAGTTTAAAAAGAAAGCTGCTCGCAACTTTTTTAAAAAGGAAATGTTAAGATATTATAGCACAAGCCAATTTTTTATAGCAAGAAGAAAAACACAAAGATGTGGTTCACTTGTAGCAAGATTTTTAAATAAACTTAAAAAGCGTTAAAATGATGCACAGAAATGAGTTAGAAGAGAAAGATACGTGTGCAGATTTTTGAGAATGTTGAGTAATTTTAGTCCCGCCATTAAAAAAAAAACAGAAGAGTATTCTATTCTCAATTATTCCCCTGTTTTTTACTCAGTGTGAATCAAAGCCAATTAGGACGAAACATTGGCGGTTGTTTTAAAAGACAGATAACTTTCAACTCCATTTATCTTTGATTTACACTGAGAAAAAGTATACGATTTTATTTTAAAAATGGTGGGCTAAATTTTTGAATAATATAATTATTAGTGCGTTTTCTTTTTCTTGATAACGAATTTTTCGAGCACACTCGAGCGCGACTCTTTAATTTTTTCACAGCAAAGCTGTTAGCTAGCTTTAATATACCTTTATTTAGTTATTGCATAGTAATATTTTAAACAAATTCGAAAATAATTTAAAATAAATGCGAAGTGTAAGTTTTATTACTGTTATTATATCANCAAGCTCAGCGATGGTGCTAACCAAAATTTTATCGAATATATTTATCATAAATCTACTTAATACCCATACAATAACCTCACTAATACATATACATCTCCAAACCTATACATATATGATAGCTGCACCTTTTACAAATTAGAGCAATTTGTACCTATTTGTAAATTTATTTTAAAAACAACTGCTCAGTGGATATCACCTCTTAAGTGAACGAAACTTAAATTGTAGAAGCGAACTCACAAACGGCAGACTAGACGTGACTGTGACGTATGATAAATGACTATGAAAATTTTAAGGTTATATACCTATAAAACACTTAATTGCACCGAAAAAGCATTAAAACACCTTTCCTTCGACGTTTTCTTGTGAGTTTCTTATAAATACACCTTCTTTAACTAAAACCCATGCTACAGGAGTTGAATTATTAATGAAAATTGAGATGGCAACTATGAAAATGAGGTTTGAAGTTTGACGTGTGATCTACAAATATTAATTTACAAAAAAAAGCGTTAAAAAGGCCCTCCCCCGGATTATTTCATGTAAGTTTTTCATAATTAGGCCATTTTACGTCATTTCCAGCAAAAAAAAGTTGCATTTTCGAAAAAGCCGCGATTCGTAAGTTTTACCAGATTTGACTACTGGAATTCTAAAAACTCTCAAATACCAATGCACTAAAAAGTTATTTGTCGTACACACATCCTAGAAATGAGATATTTAAAAGAATTTTCGTAGAGTTAATAAATAATTTTTGAATTAATTTTTACCACTACAAATAATCTCAAATTAATGAGGAAAAATTGTTTTTGTTGTCACGCCCTCGCCGAGAATCGAATCGGATCCCTAGCTTTAAGCACCATTGCTGTACGACTAGGCTACAAGAGGTGTCCGCAGCAACAACGATACGAACCTAACTAGGAGGCCAGAGAATCGTCGAACCAATATATATATGATTATATAAAATCAGTAATTTGAGGTTATCTGTAATGATAAAAATTAATTCACTTTAACAAATGGTAAAGTTAAAAAGACGGTTTTTATTATTGAGATATCACAGCAGTTCGTGTCTATTGTTTGTTTATGACAACAACACAAACGTCTCATTAGAAACTTTCACAGAAGTTTCTGGAGTCTAATTCGATCGTCAACCAAATTTTCTCTGTAAAAAAAATAGTGATGTTGCGGATTTCAGCGTTGGATATTGCAGGACTTAAACAACTTTCCCTATACCTAGGAAATTCAGACTAATTTAGCACCTCATCATAAAATTTGCGAGATCGACAGATCCCCGTTAGGTCAGTTGAGGTCTAATTTTTTTCGTTAGATCTATTGTTTTTTTTTTTTTAAAATAAATGCGAAGTGTAAGTTTTATTACTGTTATTATATCATTTAGCATATTTTAAATTAATGATGATACGGATAAGTACAAGGAGTGAAAAACCGTTTTCTTTCTATTGTTTTTTTTTTTTTTGAAATACCTACCAGTTTTGTGGAGTTGATATTTTTCCCGCTGACCCAATAAACGTAAGGATTTAAATCGGAAAGGACTTTACAAGTGAAGTTGACATTACTACCGACTAATGCGGTAACATTTTGAGGGGATTCTGTTATGATAGGTCTGTTGTGATACCTCTCTAGAAATAATAGACAAAAAAAAAATAACCACATGCCCCAAACATTAACACAAGTATGTACAGTAGTAGAGTTATTGCCAGCGCCCTGTTCCTTTTTACATGTACAATTTAATCATGTAAAAGATGAAGATATAATAGAAAAAGTGTTAATAAATATAACAATTAACGCTCCAAGTGATATGTCCCAGCTAATTTGATCAAACAGCTGTTTTAATTTTACTTGCGGCAAAAAAAGCGTTTCAAGCCAAATCTTTTGATGTTAACATGTTTCATACAAAAGTTTAATTATCAGAAAAAGAGTAGTAAGTTGAAGATAATATATGCTCAGTTTTATTTAATTTGCATAAAAATTTAGTGTATGACGTAATCATCAAGGGAGAGTTTTAATATCTCATATGCCTGCACCCTTACGGCATGTCATGCAAGGTGTCTTCATATTTGGCATGACAAGCCCTTTTTTTAAGTAAACAGCTCAAAATATAATCTAAATAATATTTTTTATTGCTTGGGATAAATAAAAAGTATTGTAATTATACAATTTTGCAGTAATCTGGGTTTTTGATCAACAAAAATCGAAAAATAGATGAAGTGTCTAAATTTGATAGTTTTATGGCATTTTTGAAGAATATGCTTAGGATCATAAGGTTACGGTACGGATAGACAACACCCACGAAGTAGCTTAATTAATACCAAACAAAAGGAAATACGAAGCAGGCACTTCGCGTGTGTTGTCTTTCCGTATCGTAAAATTGGAAATCTACTATTTTTTTTTTCATAAATCTGCTGTAAAATTGAACGTTTTGAGATCGGAACCATGAAAATTCATCTATTTTTCAATTTTTAATGATAAAAAAAAAAACAGGTGAACGTGAATATGTATAATTACCTACGTATTTATAGATAATTAGCATTTTAAGCTGATCAACTAATTGAGTAAAAGAGAAAATAGAAAGTGTGCGCATTTTGTGAAATATTTACACAAAGTATTAATTTTATTAGAAGTGCTGTAGAAGATTTTAGGCCGTCACCGGAAATAAAACCACCACCTTCCTTAGTCATTTTGAAATTATGATTATAATAATAGTAACATGAAATGGAAAGCCATTTTGCCCACGTGCCCATAGTTTTTTTGTAATCTTATTGAAGTACCTGAATGATAGCATCGCTTGGGCTCGTTTTGTTAAAATCAAACGATATATTCGAACTCTTTATCCAGTATATGTAGGGATGTAAATCCATAAGAACTTGTGGACATTCAAATTCCACCGTGGTGTTTACCTCCGCTGTTACGTTATGAGGGTAACCTTCTTTAATGTGCGGTTTTGACGGGTAACGTTCTATTTAATTAGTCAAAGTAATTAATTATATATTATACTTGTCGAGTAACAGACTATTTGCTATGAATATTTCATATTTTTTTTTTACAATATATGTGTCATTGTGTTATCATATATCCATTGTAAGCCTCAAGAATGTCAACTATTAAAATACCGATTTGAATTGTAAGTATAAAATATGCAACTCTTAATGATCATGGAGCTATGGCATTGTTTGTAGACCTCTTCTTAGAATGTACGAGCAGTTGAATTTTAAATTCTTCCAGCGAATTGTGACACAAGTTGTACATACCAACTTATTTAACAAAGACATGATGTTTCTAAACTGAAGAAAACTGTCGTATTTTTTTCTTTGTTTAATTGTCAAATTCGAAAATAATAATTTCTTAGGGCGGTCAGTAGCAATAAAGGTGAAGTAAGAATTTAAAATGGGTTACCCTGCTCTAAAATAAGCTCGCAGGTATTATATCTTTTATTAGCCAATAAAAAGCACGCAACTCTGGTGCTAATCATAGTATTGCTGCAAATGTACGTGACTTTTTCCTCAAATACAAAACGAGGGACCCGGTTGTAGTAGAGTGACAAACTCGGAAATATTCGGCGATGAAAATAAAGCAAATAGTCTGTCGTCTGTCTGTCATATCTGGCTAAAAATGTTTTGTTTAAATAAAAAGCAATGCATTTATACTTTACATGAAACGAGCGTTCGTTAGAAATTTCTAAAATAGCCGTCTTGCTGGCATTAAGAGTAAATTTCCTGAAGTTAATGAAGTCAAAATTAGTTGGGTAATCGTGAATGAGGAACGTTACTTTTCATACACTATTTAACTTAAGTTCAGCGCGTCGCATTTACCTATTACGTCCAGCGAGAAGCTGTGATTGATACACCCTAGAATGTTGCAAACCACGCAGGTGTAGTTACCAATGTCACTTAGGGTGAGGTCTTCTAATGTTAATGACCACGTTCCGTACCGAAAATCGCCAAGACTCCTTCCAGGTTTTGAATTGTTTTTGTACCATGTTATGTTAGGCGTTGGATTACCGTGGGCTTTACATTTCAAACTTATCATATTCCCTGCCGGCTTCACATGGGTTTTCAACATTTTTCTAGCCCATGTTGGGGCTTGCAAAGTTGCATTCTCGTCCACATGACCCCCGGTGGATACTTTACCTCCTACATCTTCTTCTTCATGACCATCTTCAGATGGTACTGGTTCGGACGAATTCGAAACATCTATGAATAAAATTGATCAAAAGGCTAATAAGGCTTTCACGGGCGACGTTATCAGAATGAGCTTGGTGGGTGTAGTCTAGGATAGTTTCTTCTTCTTCGATGAGAATACCGATGGAGGATGTTTCGTTAACAGTTGTGCTTCTTCAAAAACGTAGCAAGGAAGCAAGGTCGTTAAGTTTTTGTATTCATTTTGAGAATGTTAACCACACCTACTGGCTAAACGACTCCATCGGTATTCTCACCGAAAGGGAAGAAACTATCCTAGACCACAACCATGAAGATGGATTATAAAAAAATAAAATCTCAGATTTTAAGTTAAATTTCTTTACGGAAAAAAATTGTTATGATAGATACCTATCCTGTTCAGGTTGTCGTCGTTGTGTTTAAGTGCCCCAGACTGCAAAAATAGTCCCAAACAAAAAATGATCGCCAGAAGAGACATATTTTTCGACTGGTTTTTCTTCTAGACATCTGTAACAAAAATTAATAACATTTAGATTACCTATTCGCTGCCATTAAAAAAATAAAAAAAGTAACAGTTTGGATTTGCTCGCGTGGGTTCTAACTTAAACTTCCGCTATGATGACGGTGAACGTTTGAAAATGTTATTCCCAATTTTCCTTCCAGCCAATGTGTAAACTATTAATAAGTGCACTCTATTTTGTAAGGAATTCAACTCATTCCGAAATTACTTTAATCTGCAAACACGTCAAATTATAAGTATTCATTCATCAAATCACATCTGCACGCGTTCGTCTAATCCACAGGGTGTTACGGATTTCGTAGCTGTTGCGAACTTTTAAAAGTTTCTTTTTCAAAGCAAAAATAGTTCGCTGACTCATTTTTGTCTGGTCTGGTAAAGTCTGTTTTATTGACTCATCTACTTTCTTGACTATGTTTATTATCGGAAGCAATATTTATCTCTGTTGAAAGGTAAATTTTTAAAATAGGATAGATTTTATAAAACAAATGTGTCTATCGCAGAGAAGTTAGGCATACGTTAGGGCTGTTCAAAACTTCTTGTTTCTTTCAAAAAGGTTTTCATACTTATACGTAGATACTCGAAAAAGAGTAGTAAGTTGAAGATAATATATGCTCAGTTTTATTTAATTTGCATAAAAATTTAGTGTATGACGTAATCATCAAGGGAGAGTTTTAATATCTCATATGCCTGCACCCTTACGGCATGTCATGCAAGGTGTCTTCATATTTGGCATGACAAGCCCTTTTTTTAAGTAAACAGCTCAANTCAGATATATTAATTATACCTACAATTTGCCAAGAAACAAAATATGTAACTAATTAAATCGATTAGACATAAAAATAATTTCAATAAAAGTAACAAAGTGATATCTTGAGCTCGAATTTGGGTCAGTATTTGTCCCCTGCAATAAAGGATATTTTGGATCACCCTACATGAGTTAATAACGAAATTAAGCGTAAGGTAAACAACAGTAGAAGTTTATAAAAAATTTTGATTATTCAGTTATGCATATATGTATATAATTTTCCTTTGAAAACAATTGTAAATTATGGTGGAGGAGCCTAACACTGTGCGTATACAAGAAGTTATTTTGTTTTACTTTCGAAATTATTTACTAAACATTATGTAATAAATGAACAAGGTTCTAGTAGAATTTGTGGGTGGTGTAATTTACCTCCTTCCCACCCACTTCAGTAACCTGGCAGGTGTTACATACTACGAACAAAAATATTACAATACACTTATTGTACCTACGAGTACGAAAATTTGCTGCCAAGTATGTTACAAGAAGTTTTTTTTTTTTTTAAGATGTTACTACATTATTTTGAACCGGTAACATAAAAAAAAAAATATTCGTCTCCATTTTTAGGTTTTGTTTAGGAGTTATTTTTGGTTTGTTTTGTGGTAGTTAATAAAATTCCTTGAAACTGACCGATTCAAAGGTTCGGTAGGCGTTTTAAAATTTAGTGATTTGATGTTGCTGACCTATATCCTATAGCTTTTTGTATTTAGGTCATTAATAAACCTTCGATCAGGTGCATGTTGTGATCAAAGCTATTATCGGTTTCAAAAAAGGTTTGCCGATGGCGAACGATTGGATTTCTAAATATATTTAATGTGTACACAAAAACGCTTAAACATTACTCTATATGTACAGTACACCATACGTATTTGTAATTATGTGTAATGTCATATAGATAGATAATTATTATGAACTGTTGATGCCTTGAATTTATTACTGTAGCTAAATGTATTGAGTATCTACATGAATTATTTTTGAAAAGAACTAATTGAGGTAAATGTCAACATTTCTATTTACTTACAAAGTTTAATTTCTTATTTAATGAAAGTTCTTTTTGACTTTTTAATGTGTAGATTTTGAGGGAGTCCCAATCAGGGAGCGTAACGTTCGTGTTTGGTAATTAAACTTATTTTTATCAACTTAGTTACTTAATTAATAATGTTGTAAAGTTTGCTTAAACTAAATGTATAGTGAATTATTTTTAGTTACTTGTACGTAAACATATACAAGCACATTTGTTTTGAGATGTACGGAATTTTTTGCTTATTCCATCATATTATCTTGGTCCAGTGGCAAACGTTTTTTGTTCTGCCGTATGTTAGGGTTCATTTTTCACTTGTTTTTTGGCGAGTTCGTTTTCGTTCTCGACAACTAATTTCAAAGTTAGCGTGTTGCTATTCATAGACGCCGTATTCATTTTTATGTTTATTTCAATTCGCTTATAACGGAACTGATTTCGTATACTAGTGGCAACGTTTAGAACGGAGCAAGTTCTATGTCACATACTGTGACGTTCAAATGTATCATTCCTTCAAAGAAATTAGACTGCTTAGTTTTCAACTTAACGGAAAACATTTGTCCTCTATTTACATACACGTAAAACGTACCAAATATTTCGATATTTTCATCTGTTAATGGTCCCAAAACAGATCGCCAACTTAATTAATTAATAGACAGCCTTCGGGCAGTTTTTAACTGTGTGGCGGGGAAATGTATCTAATTGAAATTTTTAGATTATTTCCTGTTAGTGTTCAAAAAATAAACGTAAACATGTGCTGAAAGAGCAGTTTTCGTGTAATCATAAATAGGATATGTAACGATTTTGCTGACTCTGTGATGATGGACTCAAAATTGTTGTAGGGCTCGGTAGTATGTTTAAAATATCGCATATAGTGTGCATAGAGAAAAAGGAGAATAAGCAAAGAAGGGCAGGTAGATTTGAACGGCGGAAAATATAGTCGCACGTGTGCGCCATATGTGCCAGAATTTGTACATCTCGCCAAAGAGACGCGTGTTACAAGCCTACCCCCAATGTTGACGCTTCAATGATCAGATGGAACAGGAGGAAGCTGCAACCTACGTGCTCATCATCTACGGTTTAAAATAAGACGTTAAGATATTACTACGAACTGACCTCAAAAATAAAACCTAAAAACAAATACCTATACAACATATATTCTTTCGAACAACCTACCGGAAATAGCAAACGATTCTTAAAACTCTCGATTTATAGAAAAGCTGCGCTATTTTTAGATGCTTTTAATACGTATAGTTATTAATTTCTAACATCAAACGTAATTGTGTTTGGCACCTTCTGAGGCACCTTACATTTAGGAAGAAACCCGAGACAATGGAACCCACTGTAATTTGCAACTGATCTTGATACTGTAGGAAATTGTCACTATTTTTATAATTACTAGTTTCTGGCTGTAACTCCAAACAGGGCCACGTTTTACACCTTGTGGAACGCCTTAAATGTATGCAGCGAGGATTGATGTAATATGCAACTGATTCTTGAACTGTGTATTAGAAAAATGTTACAAATTTTTAACACTAAACGGAACCATGTTTGGTACCTTAATGTTACTGTGAACTTAACTGATTCTTAAGCGTTTGATGTCTTTATATAAAAACGTCGCTATTTTTATAGTTATCAGTTTCTAAACAGGTCATTTTTAGCACGTTGAGGAATGCCTTAAATTTGAAAAACCTGGGTGTACAGTGAGTATTAATGGAAACTGTAATTGATTGTTAAATATCTCATTCAAATTTTTAGTAGTTCTAAATTTAAAATTACATGGGATTGTGTTTGGTAGCTAGGTACTTCATTAAAGTTAATAGTTGTACACAAAAAGCACTAGTGTAAATTGCAGGTACGCCACTATTTTTAGATTATTTTCGTTATTAATTTCCAATTATACAGTGTGGGATGTCTTCAAGTATACAGTGAAGACCACTGTGAATTACGTACAAATGACAGTAGTTGTTTAAGATAACGTAACATTTTTATGAACTGCTTTATTAAATCAACATATTCTAGCCTAGATACAAACGCCATAAAGTTTCCAAAACCCCTAAAAAAAAAAAAGAAAAGCTTGCCTCTTTGTCGTAACCGTGTCTATGAATAGATAACAGAAGTTGATGCATACAATGTGTTACAGTATACGTACGGCATTTAAGTCATGCTCTTGCTTCGGCACGGTCAACATTCGGCACTTCCCTACATCTGGTTTACTCATAAAGTTCCTCAGAATTTTACATTTTATTATCTATTAATGGTAATAGTCAAACCATTTAACTTTACGGTAGAAGTTATTGACTTTTGCAAGTCAATAAAACTAAAACTTTGTATCCGTTTCGAAAACTGACTTCATAGTAGTAACCCTTTATACTGAAACTGTAATAGTTAGAAAACAATGCTGTCCCAAAGATATTTTACAGCATATGTTTAATACAAATACTTCTCGCGATCGACCTTACGATTAGCATAAGATTGTGGTGAAAATCTCTTTTTTTAAATACAGTAGAATCCGCTTATAATGACATCGAAAGGAAATGACAAACACGTCATACAAAGCATAGTCTTAGAAAATAAACAGCTTTCTATTTTGGTTAGTTATTTTGTTTAATAGAGAGAAAAGCTACAAATTGTATACATTTATTAACATAAAAAGAAAAAGAACGATGAATTGTAATATCAATATACATAAGAAGGGTCAGAAAAATGAGCGAAAATGNCAAAAGAATTTCTGGTAGAATTTTATCTAAACATAGTATCTCGGGGTACACAATACCACATATTATAGTTAAAATAAAACCTGCTGCGGTTTTGTTATCAATAGAAGTGTGTAGTGTATCTAATCGTAAATGTTCTTTAACCCTATCGGATTTTCGTTACATTTACTTCTTTAGATAAGCAAAAGAGAATTAATTAGATCACAATTACTACTAATTTCAAAAATGTCTATAAAATTGTTTCTGAAACAAAGAAAGTGCTATAATATTGAACGTTGGTTTTTGAAAATCCTTTTTTTTCCAATTTATTTATAAATGGGCCGATCAATTGTCGGAAATCGATCTCATCACTCTTTAATTAAAGAAGCGCGGTATTGTTTTTCGTTAGGTTTCGAAGAAAAATAAACAAATTTGATGTCTTAATGTATCCTGAACATATTTGGCATGTTTATTTTTAATTAATTGCGTAGGTGAGTGAACTTTATTCCTACCTTTTGGTAGCTTTTTAATTTTTCTGGCGGATTAACACATGCTCGAAATTATGTACGAAAATATTTATTACCCTCCACTTTTTCACACGGGAGCAGATGCAATTTCGTCGGGTCGGAAAATAAAATTTACGGCTTTTATTCTTTTGAAATACTGAAGAAACTTTTCATCTCTGTTTTATTTTTATTATCTACGCATAGTGGAACAGGACATTGCTAGCATTAATCGCAAATACAACTCTTAATATTTATAAACTTCGTTAGTACTGGACTGCACACAAAAAAGTTGTTTAAAATAGAAGAAAATGGGAAATATTCCACATTTAATTGCCCTACGTTTCATTTTTTACGAACCACCATGAACATTATTTACAAATATTGTAACTTTACATTTATAATAATTATTCTACCGACATAGGTACGTTTGCTTATAAATATCTAAAAGCATTTCGAATAAATAGATTTAACTTCTTAAATCCTTCACTTATTACATCTATTTGCATAAACACTTCCTCGTGGTAGGAGGCGCCGTATATGAGAAACAAATTAATGGCAAAAAGTCTTATGGTAATTAAGTGTCTTCTCTAGCATTATACATACTTGTGTGGACATGGCAATAAATATGTAAACTTAATTATTTGACATGTGCAGTAAGTATTGTGTAATTTTTTTACGACTTCGTTCTTAGCAGTGTTATAATCAGGGTCGTATCTATCCTATGAGTCTTTCTTCATGTCGGTGAACTTTTTGGAAATTTTTCATATTAATGGGATTTTTTTATGAAAATTGTAATATTATAAATGCGTATGAAGCCCGAGGTTTTTATCAAAATTTTATGCTTTGTTCAGTAAACTTGGCCATCGTCATGTACGAAAATATCTAGTGATATATTCTTTTTCATGATTTTCTTAAGGAAAACTGAATGCAAATAATATCGGATTTCTCTCGAAAAATGTCTTTTGAATCAGTCTCTGTTTTTTAGTATCCAAGTAGAAGCATCACAAATACGTATAAGTGAGTTAAACTTTTTTTTTACTCAGGGTGTGAGTGTGTTGGGTTGGGATTTGTACAAGTAGCCATAAAATGTGTTAATTTGTTTTCTTCCTAAAATTCTCGGATTCAACCCAGGCCAGAGTCCCTTTTATTCAATACTTTGCCCATTCGTGCTGCATTTAGTTACTGTATAATATTTCATACACATGAACGTTTCCGAATACCTGCTAAACTCCAGGACTCCCATCAAAGAGAACATCTTCAAACTATACTGGGATTAGTTTTTGGAGACTAAAAACATATGGGCTGCTGGTTTGGGAAAGCAATATTACTGACCATCCTTTAACAAGGGTCAGGGTCGCTAAGGACACATCTGGTTGCCATTGCTCACTAGAACTAATCGTATGAGACAAGACGACACTCACTTTGTGAAACGATTTTACATTTTCATTTTTCTGTATTAGATACTACACTGCATTTATTTTGATGTAGGTGCTTTTTTTCGTTTCAAAAATAAACTCTTTCAAGGAAGTTCATAACAATACGCTGAAAACTAAGTCTCTCTTCAAATTTTGAAATATATAAGTATATAAAGAGAATAAAAAATACCGCTCCCACTAAAATTTTGGGAATGCTGTTATGTTTATTAAGTTATTAGGTATACATATAAGCAAAGCATCTTATGTTTGACCGTGTGGTGTTATAAATACTTAAATGATCTAATTCTATGTACGTCTTACTACGTTTTACGTTTGTAACGTAATAATTCTTTATCGAGAGTTTATGAGTTGTCATTCTCACAAGCTTTAATGGGCTTAAGTAGAAATATTAAATAAACCATTGTATATTTGGTAAATCATGTCATTCTTTTGTGAATATGCACAAAAAAAAATCAATTACTGTCCAATTTATGCGGGTACTAAAATGCACAATAAATTGGTACGAATTCATAGAAAATCGTCTACATATCCCGTCGTTCTAATATGAGTCTAATAATTTTCACTTTACATTTTTTTTTACTTGAATGTACGAAGTGTATTTTAAAAGGTTTCAGTTTTACAAATTACCCTAAACAAATAGTTCTTTCATGTTAGTTTATGTTGAAGAAACCGAAGACAAACAAATTAAGGAAAGCTTGTAAATACTGGTAGTTAGTAGTTAGTAGTAGGAGAAGTAGTAGCCTGTGTTTTACAAAGGAGTTAATAAAATTTAAAATGATCTTGGGTTGCGGGTTTTTAAGCGATTCTTTTTAAAAAGAACTAGATCACGGACGAAATCTGATATACCTTATACCCTGTACGATGCAGTCCATGAATCTAAAGCCAACGAAAAGCTCTACAGCTGCTAAGATTTGGAGACGGTCCTTGAGGTAGTTTGGTGTCACCGGATATCACATATAAGAGGCAATTCAAACTTATCAACATTCATACAATAATGTCTACTTAGTATTCGTGTAATGTATCTCAACCTATCTTACAAGTGAAATATTAAAACAATAGACACCTTTATAAGACAAACCTATTTAAATTCAACTTGCTGTTTCGTTTTGTTTGACGCTATGGATCTCATTTCGGAATGTCAATAAGGATAGCGACTTGGACTGCTATTTGTTGTTTTTTTTTTCTATTGCTAATTTTAGGTTCCGCTAACTTCTACTACAACACTCATAGACTAACGGAACGTTTGCTATTCCGAATGCAACATTACAACTGCGTATAATAATTAAAAAAAATAATAATAAAGACTTGCGAAGTTTTTTTATTTTTCAAATCGCTAATTGCAATTAGGTGCTTTTTTTGTGCATCAAACAGTAAACAAATCAATCGTCATGGAGCATAGATATAGGCCTGTTGTATATATATATATGTACATAGTATGTCATTATAATAAGAACAATCCAATTTAAGTGACCACATTGTCTCAACATCAACGTCAACTATGTATACATGTGTTTTTCTCCGGGTGCTCCCGAAGGAATCACTAGATAGAGCAAAGTGGACAGATTTACTGATAAGTGATTTTGCGAAATTTTCAAGTAGACAATAAACGTCAAAAGATTATATCACATTAATTTTTTAACGAATATCTATTGGTAACTGCATTAGGATTTTTCAAATTATTTTATGTTAAAATATTACGTGTTATCTGTATGTAATGTTAGTAGATTCTAAGAAAAATATATATGTACTTTTATATATGTAATATGTAGGTATAATACAGAAACATTTACTTCTTTAGATAAGGATAAATTCAAAGGATTTATAAAGTTAATAAAATATCGTCAATGGCCAATTACAAATGCTGGTTGCAGATAATCTTAACTATATGCAGTTTATGCCAGTTGATTTTGCTAACGAGAAATAGAGTTTATGTTTATGATGGACATTTTCGACATTTCTTACTATTTTATATTTTCCAATTTACACATCCTTTGTAAAATCCATTTGTAATTCACAGGTACCTACACTTATGTTTATGGTAAAGTGAATTTTGTTTATTTTATCTCAAAAATCATTGATTCATGCTGAAATACTAAGCACTAGCTAGCTATTCGACAAGAATTTTAATGCAATTTTCTTCGCCGATTTTACAGACCTACTAAAAAATTACGTTTTAGTGAACTTATAAACGGTGTGAGATTTGTAATAAATGCTTGCTTTTTTCGTATCTAATGATATGAAGGCAGATTGTTTATAAAACTTTTTAGCAAGAATTTATTTCTATATAAAATTAATTTTTACAAGTTGGAAGTTCGTTGTGTTAAGTATTAAATATTAATTTGAAAATTCATTCTCAATTTCTTTTCCAATATAAGTTAGCTGAAATTAATGAGAAAATTTTTGCCAAAGCCGAAGGTCCCGAGTTCGATTCTCGGCGAAGGCATGACAACAGCAACAAAATTTTTTCTCATTAATTTTAGGTAATTTACAGTGGAAAATAAATTAAGAATGAATTTTCAAATTAACATATAAGTAAGGGAATTTGTTGTCGAACATAGAAATTATACATTTCTCTGCTGGAATTTTTTCTTTTTATTGTGTTCGGTTCTCAATTCGCTACTGGTGTGTAGCAATTTTAGGCAGAAAAGTTATTAATTCATAAAAATGAGAGCAAGAACGTGTACGACGAGGTTTTGCAAGCGCCTTGCAAGTTATTTCGGTACTAATTTATGATCTATTGAAAAGTTGTTTAAAAAACGAAACTGATACTATAAGGGCATCCAAACTGATTATAATACATTAGTATAAGAGCATTAATAAAAAACGTTTTGTATACATATATAGAAGGTAAGCAGCGTGTTGTTTTAAAGAAATTTTGCTACCGTGGAGGCATCTGGATAAACATTTTCGTTCAATTATTTTTACAAGACCCAAAGTTAACATCGTGTTCTCGCTCTTAAAATGCCAACAACCATAATCATTGGTAATTTTAGTAACATACATAATTACTTGTTACAATGAAACGTTTTTGTGCAAAATTTTTCGGAAAACACAACTTTGTATTTGTAAACAAAAGATATTCGAAACAGTTGATTCGTTTACATTCGTGTATGATAATGATATGAAAAAAGGAATCTTTTTGTGATGATCTTTGTATTGTGTTCGATTTGTTCAGTTTATTTTGATGATAAACAAATATGTACCCAAGCATGTATTACTTATTGTTAAATAAATAAATTTCGAAATCGAATAAGGTACTAACGTAGAACATAACATAATATTATGTACATATATAACGACAAGTAGGCTTATTAGACTTTTCTTAAAATAAAATCTTTCGATATAGTTGCGACTGGTAGTCGATATTGTTTGTCGGTATGGAACAGATACACGCCAAACTTTTGGCAGACTATTACTAATAAGTTGAGTCGATTTAGGCTTAGGTTATTGCTGATTAATTAAAATAGGATTCTGTAGGAAAACTTACCAATCAGTTTTGAAACTGCAAGTATAACCGAGGCGTTTAATTTTAGTCTTTTGTCGTCGGTTTCCAATGTGTGCACAATGTTTAATCACTCGTTATTTCGGGAAACAACGATATCTTAAAACAGACGCAAACGTCTCGAAAGTTAATGGTACGAACTTTCCCCGTAAAAGACGCACTCGGAATTTTCAATTTTCAAATTGTTATCGTCGCACGCGCGCTTCGTCTGAACATTTATGTTTGGTTTATAAGAGGAGAAGCTTATGCGTTTACTACGATCGCTACCGTCGCCTGCGGACTTCTGGGCACGCCTCTAGGACTATAACGACGTCCTAACCGAGTTTGAGACTTCTCGATCGCGTAGTGGCTAACATAAAACAAACTCCCCACAGTACAGGAGGAGTTCATAAATAACCTTATGTTTTGCAATAAGTTCTGTTTTGATTGTAACCAACCAGGCATACCTTCGTTTACTACACCAGTTTCGAATGCACACAAACTGTCCTTGATCTTTTAGGGTACGTCAGAACGCGGGGGATGAACTCAAATTACTCCTATCGTCTGTGTTTTTCTAACTTTGATATTGTACAACTGTTTTTATCCTGATAATTGGACACATTTACGAAGAAACGTCCCTCTAACGCATGATAATCAATGGTACCTTCTTCGACCCCCTTGATCAGTCTATTAAGGATTATAGCTAAGATTCTAGAATAGTTATAAAATCAGTAAAGGGTGGAATAAAACCTTTACCTTATCGGCACTGCAACTATCTAATAAAACTAAAACAGGACAAAAAGGATAACTTATGTTGCGGCATTTCTTCGAAAAGGATAACGGTTTATGATTTTTATAACTACATTTAAATCCAACCACATTGTTGCAATTGTTTAGTTACAGCTCGAATATTGTATGATGAGATCTTCAACCCCCTTGTAGCAAATATATGATCTGCCTATTAAGGATTATAGCTACGATCCTAGAATAGTTATAAAATATAGAATAGGAATAAAACCGTTACCTTATCGATACTGCAACCATCTAATAAAACTAAAATAGGACAAAAAGGATAACTTATGTTACGGCATTTCTTCGAAAGGGATAACGGTATATGATTCTTATGACTACATTTAAATCCAACCTCATTGTTGCAATTGTTTAGTTACATCTCGAATCGTCAAATATTTTATTATGAGAGGGGACAGCCGTTTCAATGTAGATTGCAATTTTACAAAATCCTTTAGTCCTTTTAAAACTAAATCAATCGTCATAGTGACATATTACTCAGCTTTTACGTGTTTCCCTTCATCTTTCACCGAAATGTACAAGCTTCGACCTTTTTAAATTAAAAATTAATTATTTAACAGTTAACCGATGGTGAGTTGTTGGGAAGATGAGGTGTAGTGGAAGGGGGAGAATAGATGCAGCTTGTAGACAATCCAAAAGCTTCCTTTAATTAATCAAAGGCGCATACACATTTGAACTTCGATCTAGAACCGTATTAATCAAATGCAATTTAATTGATTAAATGTTTTAATCGGTTGAGTAGTAGTTCACCGATATGTACTGTATTTATTTCATTTGAAATCAGCCAATTCCAATCGTCGAAGGAAAAAAAGGGTTAACTTTGCAATGTGTATAAATTAAATAAAAAAAAAAAAAAAACGTATTTACAAGTACACAGTTTTATATTCTTAAACGAAATAGACTCGTAAACGTGTGTCAATGTGAATAGTTATGCATTGTTTTCATTTAATGTCAGAACACCAATCAGTACAGCAATTTAGCAATTTTTGATTTAATGGCTTAATATGAGTCAAATTGCTCTGATATTAAACTTCTAAAAATGCAAGGACACGTGGTGGACTCTTTATTAAGTTTAATCAAATAACACAGTAATTTTTGAAATTAAGAATGACAAGTTCAAGAAATCGAAACATAAAGCTACCTACTTAAAATATTAATATATTATATTAAAATATATAATTAATAAGTCCTCTAAATCTTGTCAAGACTAATTCATTCATGTATTAGATAATTGTAGTTTTAATATGGGGCAGAAATCAAATTTTACATTGCCCCCTGCTAACTTTAATTATGTTCTACATCCCTAGGCCATAGTCTCCTCCAAAATTTTAATATACATCGGGGATGACTTTTTTTCCTTTTTGAGGTGTAGATCGAGAAACTTTGAAGGGTGGAACGTTTCGCTTTTGATTAAAGGACTCAACAGATTGAATAAAATTTTTCTCAACGTTTTCGTACAGGTACAAGTACGAACTACTGTTGTTTGTAGTTCCTGAATAAAATTCGACACACGTTTTGGCGTCGATGTTATCTGCAAGAATTTTAATTATGTCAAGACTTATTCCAAATTGGTCGAGGGCTCAAGGGTTTGTTGCTAGGCGTGGTGCCGATGAAAAAACATAATCGTTATTTGTTTCCAATGTAATTTTTATGCAATGTAAGAATTGAAAAAGGCGGTGAATTGAAAGGTAGTAGTGACGCTGTTGTTGTATCCGTAACTTAACGATAACCGGACGTATGTAAGTAGAAATACGACGTGTGTAGAATAGCTTCCTGTATGTAGTGGCCAAGGAAGATCGGAATCGAAAGGTATATTGTACCATCATGCCTTAATGCAGTGACGACTCGTGTTAAAACGAGGAGGGTGTGCTAGATATGTTAACTCACCAATTTTTTAGAAGGTTTACAATCAATCTTTAGCCTTTAGTTCAGCGTAGATGACCACTACATTTATCGCCTTAAGGCTGATCTCACAATGTGTCGATACGCCGGAAGGAAATCGTCAGTCAGTTTTATAATTGACATATCTCTTTCGCCAAATTTTGGTCGGTTAACACAATTATTAATTTACTGATTTAGCAGTTATTGCACTTTTACTTGAAGAAGGGGATGATGTCTAAATATCAGTTTAATGATTAACTCCTCTGGCTGTTACAAACGAGCTGTATGTATTCTAAGATGGTTACTATCAGACACCGTCATATCAAAGTATTCTTTCCTTCAATATGGGTCACCGGCAGACGACGCTTAACCGTGATATAGATGGGTATTGTAACAGAAATCTGACGGACGTCTAGATGATAGTGGAAATCAAGCTTTAACCGAGCGGCATGGCCTAGAGGTCTAGACCATTGCTTAGCATTCGGGAGGACGCGGGTTCGATTCCGGGTCCGTCTGCCTTCGTCCAAGTTTTTCTGTGGTTTCCTTGGATCACTTAGGCAAATGCTGGGGCAGTAATATTCCACAGATAATCTTTCATTCTCTTCTATCTTCATTTCGTCCGTCTCAACTTTCTCACCCGAACCACCACCCACCCATTCCCACGATTCCTGAAAGAAGGCTGAAGAGGGCCTTCCGCCCTACCTCCCGGCATAGTCCGGAGGGACTGCCCGCCCACCAGCACTACTGGCTGGTGGGAATGAAACACCCAAAAGTAAAAAAAAAAAAAAAGTAATCAAGCTTTACGTTAGCAGATGAGTATCTTCGCTGGGCTGTACTTGTCACCCAGCGAAGGACTAAAGGGTACCGTAAGGCGCTCAGCTGTAAACCCAGAGAATTCAATTGGTTTGCTACTTAGGCAAAAGGCGCTTCTAAATAAGCAAATCAGCGTTGGGTGTAGTTAAGATAGACTAAATGTAATATTAATAAATTACAGTGATTAAGTCGTAAAAATATATAAATTCGTTTAACAGTGCTGCAGCTCCGCAGCTCATCTACACCAGCCGCCCCTGCCTCAATGTCCTCAAACTCATATACATAAATATACGAACACACGCAGTCACATTTATACACAGGGATGGGTAGGTGGAGTACCTTCTCTTTATTGTCTTTTGTACCTGCTTAGTAACTTCAACTTAATAAAGCCATAAACCATTATGCTCGCGTACGTATGCATGTTTTAACGGAAATTAATTTTATTTTTTTTTGTAAAATGTCACTGATAGAAATATTCCTTCAACAACTACAGGCCATTAATTATTATTTTTATAAGCGTCGGAATAAGGAGAATACATTTAACAAAAGTAACTCTTGAGATAAAACAACAGAAAGTACTGAGAAATGTGCGGACTGCAACAAGGTCTATGTTGGACAAACAGAAAGATAATTCTGTTTAAGTATTAAATAACAACAATTATAAAAAAATAATCAAGAATATTGCATACTTTGAGTTTGAAAGCATGTTCTCGGATAATTTGAATTACAAAATACAAAATAAGGTACCTACGAGGGGATGGAATACTTTTCTGTGTAATATTCTGCCGATAGAAACAAACATATAAAATAGAAAATAGAAATAGGTATTTTGCATAAATTATTTGTATTTTAAATAGAACTATTTCAAATAAATCACGTCTCTGATAATATGGAATACAGATGGCTAAGATAAGGAAGCGTGCATGAAATTGTGTGTTATTTAGTTTGTTTATTTTGATCCATGCTGCATTTTATAACTCGTCATACTGTTGATATGAAAAAGTTTCTAGGCTTGTTGATGCATCTTATGTTTTCTCTCTGTATTTCCGTTTCTTGTATATCTTAACAACTAATAAATGTGCATGTGTCTGATGATACAACCATAATTAAATAACAAGTGAATTCTGTCCGTTTGTTTGTTTACTAAATTAAGTGCTACCGTGTAAGATGGTCAAACCAAGAGGTGGGCCATCTAAAAGGGTAAAATGTACAATGTACATATGTATTTAATGGCTGGTTTGTCAACATTTTTTTGATTTATTGTTCAAAAAAAGGATAATAAAAATATGTGAACTTACTTGAACTTGAAGGAATATTGATTTTTGAGGATTTTGTATCTTTTTTTGAAAATGGAGTAAAACCGCCCAGGACATTTTCAAATTCATCTTGGTTTTCGTACACAAACCAAAATTTTGTTTTGACCCAAAACTCCGTAGGACCAAACTTTAACCTTTTGAGATTGTGAATTTTCGTATTTTTAAGAATTAATTAATGAAAAGTATTAAACGTAAAAGAAATGAAAATGGTGTTGTACCTTTGAGAAGCTGAAAGTCGCTAAGGCTTATTTTTATCAGGTCATATTCCCTTTAATATATTTCGTATTTACATCTTCACCCTTAATGTATACAAGCTGGGGTTGTTCACCCGAATAAATATGCTTTCAGTTTCAAAAAACATTATTCATTATTTAAACTGAAATTCGTAAAAGGATATTCATTGAAAGAGGTGTCAATGAACCGCGTAGATTATTAAAAGGGATATAAATATTTAAATAAATTTCATATCTCTGTTTGCTCATAAAGATTCCCGTTATTCGAAAAATGTTTTTTTAGTTTAAAATATTTTTTTATAACTACAATGTTTAAAAATTACTGTAGTAGGTACAATTAACATCGTCGTTTTAAAAAATCATGCCTGGTTCTTCAGTAAAAAGTATGATTTGTTGTTATGTTGATAAATAAATTTATTACGTCATGTTTACATTGGGCATTCTCGTTCTGAAAAAAAAAATTATAATTAGTTAATGTGAATACTTTAGGTTAAGTGGATGATTGCTCCTGTAGAACTTGGTTCCTTCTAGTCCAGAACACTTTAGAACGTTGAGAAGTTGGTAGCATCACAAGTACCGTCTCCTGTGGATGCTTCAGCATGATATGAGGTTCTTATTAATGGCCCATTTAGGGAGATGTTGCCCAATGTATTATCTAAAGGCTTTATTATATAGTATATCAGTTTATGCACTTTAGTTTTTTATTTATCCATGTATCTGCCGCGGTGGTAGATACCTATTTTGGGTATTAATTAGATTCCCTCTAGGTAGACGATAAGATACCTACATATATATCGGAATAAGAAATTGTAGACATGGTTTTCTCAGCTTGCACCTCTTCATTAGCTATCACAAATGCTCTTAACGAAACATAAAACAGACCACTCTAAGATAACACGCTTTGTCTTTGCATTGCTCATAAGTTTTTTTGCTGATATAAAATATTTTGACTTAATTATACAAAAATTTATTTTACCCTTTCTATTATTATTAATTACTTTCTCTGTTTCTGTGTATGTTCGTTTATTTTCTCACAAAGTTTTGACATTTAGACAGTTGTTAATTGAGTTTTATCGCTAATTAATTTCTCTATTGTTTCAGGGAGAAACAACGAAAAAATGTAAAAGTGTTTGAAACTGCAATTAGTGAGTGTTTTCTACAAGTACTTTTAAGCGTACGTGGTGACGGCTGAGTCAAGAACATTATAATTGCACTACGAGGATATAAGGTAATAAAACCCATTTTTATAATAATAAGGTCGGGTTGGGTACATTATTCCAGTGCCAATAGAAAAAAGCAAATAAAAAGGTTTTTTGTACTTTATTCAAAAACTTTTTTATTTGAACAGTTAGTAAACATTTCCTAACGTTTAATTTTTTTTTCAGGTAAGATTAATTGTAAAGAAACACAACCAGAGTAATGTAAGTCATTTCTTTATTTTACATTATTTATTTTCTATATGATAGTGTACATAACGATGTATTTTTCGTTTTTAATAAGTTAATACTTATTCGAACTGGGTTATCACATATTTGCGTGAACCAAACAGTAGGATGAAACGAAAAAAGTTGTCAGGAAAGCAGAAAATACTTAGAAACTTTTATCTGCACATTAGTCTTTTTTCGTCGAATTTTGTGGTTAAAACATTAACTTTTGTTTCGTTGTTAAATTTAAAAGTTTTATAGAAGTGGTGTATGGACCATTACAGGATCATTAAGTCAATTTAAATTTATTTTGTTACACATCTATATATTTCTTGTCATCCGATATAAGGATGATTTTTATTGTCCTCTAACTCAACAACCTCAAACACCCGATAAACACTTTTATTACACGCATAGTGGTTGTAGTCAAAAGAATTTCTGGTAGAATTTTATCTAAACATAGTATCTCGGGGTACACAATACCACATATTATAGTTAAAATAAAACCTGCTGCGGTTTTGTTATCAATAGAAGTGTGTAGTGTATCTAATCGTAAATGTTCTTTAACCCTATCGGATTTTCGTTATTCGTAATAATACGTATGTGGCTGCAATCACGTAAATCCGTGTAAAATACTCGTTTAATTTTGCCCGATGTACTTTTTAATGGATCAGTGCGATTCATTTTGATCCATTTTGTTTTTTTGCATTAGATTTTCATTAATCGAAGTAATATGTGGTTGTAGTATGTACATGTTCCTTAAATCTGCATGAAATAAGTCCTGGTTTGTCCAATATAACGTAGTTTGCGCATTTAGTAAGCCTTTAGCATAAAATTTTTGGTTAATCGATTCTGTTAATCAATGTGAATCTTTAAATTTCTTTATAAGGAAAGTTACATTTATATTGTGGTCAATTTTTTAATTCCGTGTAGTCATATTTTCATTATTCGAAATATGTGGTCGCAATGGTTGTACATTCCTTAAATCTACATGAAATAGTCCTGTTTTTGCCCAACACAACGTAGTTTGGGCATTTAGTAAGCTGTTGGCATAGAATTTTTGGTTAATCGATTCTGTTAATCAATGTGATTCCCTCAAATCTCTTTGCAAGCAAAGTTGCATTCAACTTACAGATTTCGTGTAGTTTTTTTTTGTATTATATTTTCGTTATTCGAAATAATATGTGACCGTAGTGTGTGCGATACACAGGAAATGTGTTAGGTATCATAGTAGATTACATAGTTCGGACAGGTGCTTCCTGTAGCTCCAAAAACTACGAACGATGCCGTTGAATATATTTTATTTGTGATTGCTCGGTGGGTGCTATTGCTGTTGCCGTGTTAAAATTAGAGGAATATCCGACCGTGTCACCTCTTGATGATCTTGAACATCGAAAGTAACGTTATCTTATGGCACGCTTCAATATTCCCTTTTTTTTTTAACAGGAAAATAGTCCTACGAAATTAATCACCTTCGCTTTCGTAGAGGTACCAACAACATTAGTAATAGAACGCTTAAAGGAAAGAAACTAACTATCCTGCCTTTCTATTTTTATCCCTGTTCGTACCCGTTTTATTCAACCCGTCTATTTAGAACCATGTTACTCCCAACAGGCAGATGTCACGTCCTCCTTTCATTCCAAATGTAACGATTGATTTAACATTTCTGTTAAAGAAATGCAACATTAACAAAAATTAAAAAAAAAAACACCGAATCCTTAGTGCATAAGTTTGGATAAATTTGGTTCAGGTACACGGGCGTAACAATTACATTTTTCGTAACAAAAACTAAGAATTCATTAAGGCTTATGTAAGTTATGTTATTAAATGAAAGGCACCTGTGAATTTTGCTATTTCGTATATTAATTTCACTGAAGAACATTACCTCGTCTAACTATGGTTTCTTCAGAAGTTTTTACCAGATACGTTAACTTAAATTGAGGACTATGAAATGAAGATAAGGTAGATTTAAGTAGCTTTTGTGTCATTTGAAAGAAATGACAAGAAAATGGTTTATATATCGGACAGGGTCCAATCATTTCAAATTAGATTAAACAACAAGGATGCTAGGCCATTTTATTAGAGAAAGTAGTGAAATTTACTAAAATAACATAAAAACTTTGCATATTAAAAAACAAAATAGAAAGTTAAATATTTTGGAAAATCTAGAAATCAGAAAGCCGTACATTAAAAATTTAACATTCGACAAGCAACAGACTCTTACTTGTCGTGTTTTTATGGTTTTCAGATCAATATAATGTTAAATAAAATTTCGTGTTGGAACATCTTGGTTATTCATTATATTAGTTATTAATTTTCCTGTATGGATTTTAAATTTTTCATCATTTTATTTACCAGAAGGTTGTTTTAAAATGTGTCTTTTTTAAACGTGAATATGTACTGGCAATTGAAAATATGATTTTTCTTAAGTTTATTATACATGAATGCCCGAATGTTTAATGTATGACGAATGTTTTGAGGGCGTGTTGTTTTAAAAGTAATTTCTTTAGGAACGAATGTACATTTTATGCACAAAATCAATTCTAGACAGTTCTTTTCGTTTGGTGAATGCGCAGGGCAAGTAGAATATTGTACATACAGACCTGCTGTCGATCGTTTCCCTTTTATCCGAGTTATGTTATAAGGGTAGTGGGTTTTAAAAGGTGGAAAAGGGGTTAAATGGATCGATTGAATTGTTATTTGTGAAACGTTACCTCGACTAAACGTATGTATAATTTTTATTTTCTTTTCACGACGCTGTTATTCTATTGTATTTGACAAACTCTATTCATTTCCTATTCACTCATTGTTTTCAATAAATTCTCGGATTTTCCGCGGCGAAAAAAGAAAATATTGTTCGTTATCGTACATTTGTTATTCGTTAAAAAAAAAAAAATTAAAAGCAGTAGTTCCCATGTTAGATAACATAATTTCAGCTGAATGGGGGGCTGTTTGTATCGTCTTAAAAAGAATGCCGATATATGAAATTAATTAATGACATTGCATTTTAAAAATGTTTTTCGCTTGGAAGAAATAATTGGTGAAGTCGTAGAGAGAGGGTGGATTTTGACATGGCAAATACTAACTATGAGCACAGGTGGGTTCATGACTAAAACAAATGTAGTTAGAGGCTCAATATCGAATGGTCTTTTTTATTAGGATGATTTAAAAATAACTTGCACAATCAATAGAAGAATTTTTCACTCGTTGATATCAATACTTTAAACCAATTTTATCAGTACAACTTTTCGATTCATTATTATTACAATATCAGACTTTCTTTTCTTCCTATATGTATATATATACATTTAATCATTTTTATTTTCATTTATCCCCAGTTCCAATTCCTAATTCATTTGCTTCTTGTACAAAGCTTCTCTATATGCATGCATTGCCAGGCTGTGTTTTTCCTAATTTTTCCTAATCAATCAAAATGTTATCGTGCAAGTGGGACTGAGAATGAATAACGTTGTATTTTAGGCTCATTCTTCCAGTTCCAATGCAACACAATGACTTCAACATTTGGTCAGTATTAAAAAATTGCGTTGGTAAAGAACTTAGCAAAATTACAATGCCTGTAGTATTTAATGAGCCATTGAGCTTCCTGCAGAGGATGTCCGAATACATGGAATATTCTCATTTACTTCGTCAAGCTACCGAAGCTTCAGATCCATTAACGAGAATGCAACACGTCGCAGGTATCGGGAAATATTATAATAAGTGTTGTATTTGTTTTTAATAAGCGTAAATTAAGAGAAACATGGTCTACGATATTTCAAAAAGTTTGGGTCTGAAGCATTACAAACCATTTTTTCTTTATTTACGATTATAAGTTCCAAATTGGCATAGTCTGCCGATTTAATTTGTTATAAAAATTCCGTAAGGTTTCGCCGTGAGTGCTCTTGCTGCTAATTGGGAAAGACTCGGGAAACCGTTCAATCCCTTGTTAGGCGAAACTTACGAATTGGAGAGAGAAGAGTTCAGGATTATTTGTGAGCAAGTGAGTCATCATCCCCCTGTGTCAGCGTTCCACGCGGAGAGCCCGGACGGTAGCTGGGTTTTCCATGGTTCGATCCATCCGAAATTAAAGTACTGGGGGAAAACTGTAGAGATACATCCAAAAGGGATACTGACCCTTGAATTTCCAAAGTTAGTCTTTCCTAAACTAAACAAATAAGTAAAAAATAAACACATCCGTTACTTTTATTAGATGGAAAGAGGCCTATACATGGACAAACGTTCAGTGCTGTGTTCACAACGTCATTGTAGGGAAACTTTGGATAGAACAGTGTGGTACTATGGAAATTGTAAATCATACTACAGGTCATAAAGCTCACTTGAATTTCAAATCCGCTGGACTAAATTCAAAAGATCTTCATAGAGTCGAAGGATTTATAACAGATAGAAAGTAATTGGTTTCGAATTCTCTTTGACGAGCGCGAATTTTTGTTTCCTTATTTTTAGTAAACAAAAGCTGAGTTATGTCCACGGTAAATGGACGGAATTCTTCAAATGCGTACATTATAAATACTACGAAGAATACATTAGAGAGCATCCGAATAAGATAAAGAAATTTGGCGATCAAAAAAGCAGCAACAAAAGCCCAACGGGGGGCTCGCCCTCTCATACTCCCAAAAAAGTCTTTCAAAAACTGAACAGCTTAACTGTGTCTGCTTTCACAAAATCCAATTCAGTTCAAGAGGTTTGGCAATATACTTACTTAATTATCTAATTAAAGAAAATTTGCTAAATACTATAATATTTCCGAAGGACTACGAAGACTCTGGTCCATCCGATATTATAGAAGGAGAACTGCCAAAAAGCGACTCAACGTATTCCATTGATATTCCAAACTCGATCACCATATGGAATGTAAATCCCCGACCTCTTAATTGTAGTGACGTACGTCAATAATTAAACAGAAACTACAGAAATACAATAGAAACTTTATTTCTAAAAAGGTCTTCCTTTTTAGTACTACCAATTCACTTCATTCGCTATGTCTTTAAACGAACTGGGACATGAATTGGAGAGTAAAATTTGTAAAACAGATTCACGATTAAGACCTGACATAAGAAAACTGGAACAAGGTGATATTGATGGTGCAGCTGTAGAAAAAACACGATTAGAAAATAAGCAAAGGGAAGCGAATAAACTGCGAAAGGGGAAAAGGGCTGGAATGGAATGGACACCAAGGTGTAACAAAACAATATCTTTAGTTCAAAAATACAGTTTCATTGGCATTTTTTAAACAATATGTAGGCAAACATTGTTACATTAGTTTAAACAGTGCAGTCTACATAAAAACCAAGTTCAAAACAATTCCAAATATTTAGGAAATAATAAGGGGTAATAATGATTTTCCTTCGTGTCAACCATTACGTTTATTTCAGGTGGTTTTCGGCTGGTATCAATCCTTATACAAAACAAGAGGATTGGGTATGTAATGGTGAATATTGGAACAGGCAGTATGATGAAGATATAGATATATTTTAATTATTTATCTTTATTTTTATGTCGTGTAGACGCTGCATGTTTGCTACCTAATATAATACAGCTCAAACAAATTTATTTTTAAATATCAGATGCTAAATTTTATTAACTAAAAAATTAAGTATCTACTACCCAACTAAAAGTCTTTGAAATGTTCTTTATTTTGGTAAAACAATTTATTTAATATTTTAAAGCCAAATACATTAACATTAAAATGATAAAGCAATAATAGATTTCGTCAAAAGACATCGAAACTATCATTTGCTTCTTTTTAATAAGTACAGACTCTCCTACAAGTGATGGTACAACTTTATTAAGGAATTATGTAAAATAAGGCCGGTCGCGGACCTGTTCAAGAGACAATTGTGTCGTATGACAAATTATTTCGCGCACATCTGTTCGACATTTCGTCGTTAATAATTCGAAGGAACGATAATAAACGAAAGTATTGGGTTCATCTCAATAATTAACATGAATATGTTTACAGAATTTCATACATATTATTATAAAGTGCACGGGTGGAGAAATGATTGAAGATCCAGAAATTTTTCGATTACTTATTTTATAAAATGCCCCGAGATACATTTAAATTACTTTTTGGCAAATTTGTTCACCAAATGATGGTGTATTTTTGCAGAAAACATGCCGTAGACATGTCGGAAACAAATGTCGTATATAGATCTGGGACCGGCCTAAGAAAGGCTCTCATTTTTTTCTTTTCATTTTTAATATTCTAAAAAAAAAACAAAAAAGTAATTCTAATTATTCCAATTGAAAGAAATATTAAGTGACAATAATGTTGCATAAAGTAATGTTTTTATAACATAAAATGGTTGTGTTTATATTATATAGAATCTGGTAACTATTTAGAAGACTGGACATTTACTTTGCGACATGCATTTCATTGGCCTGGTTGATGCTTTCTCTTGTTAAAAGTGCCTCGTTTTGAAAGCCAGTTGTTTTCGGCGATGTCGTTAATTATTTGTAACCCATTGCACCAATATGCATATAATCAAATGTGCATATTACATGATGTACCTTAAAAAAAAATAAACGATTCATTAAACAAAGCAGTCGAACAAAAAAAAAAAATAAAAATAAAAGGTGATACTTGAATCTGTAAATAATTTTTAGGCAAAATATAAAGTATTACAAATTCGTTTAAGGCTTTGTTTTGCCTGATGATAGGTACATAGTTAAATAGTAAATAAATAAATAGTATTAGGTATTATGTAGATTAGGTACGTATACAATATAAATAGAAAAGTAGTACTGCTAATCCAGCTTAAATGTAATGCTGGTAGAATGTGATACGCAAAATGTATAACTACTTAACTACCATACTAGGAACAAGCTGTCCCCCTTTCGATAACAATTTTTTTTTTATACGTCCGATTAGAAATGCTATTTTTTGAACTGGAAGTACAAATATATACGTGGTAAATTCAGTGCCGGTCTTAGCACCCTTGACAAATATGGGGCAACATTTTTTAGATTTTCAGAATAGGAAACCGATCGATAAGTTTGATTGATAAGATCTCTTCTTAGATATAGTGATCCCAAATATGTTTTACTAGTTTAATCTCTGAAAAACTTCTTTATAAGAAACGTTCTCATAATAATCCATATATTTAGGTACAAATCCTCTAGTTTATGTCGTTTAATGGGCCGGATTTTTTAACTTTTCCATTAGCAAACATCTAATAGTAATTAACTCTTTATATGCCATTACGCACAATTTACAGTTAAGTTTTCTTTCTGTACTAGGCCTCTGGTGCATAGTAAAAAAAAATATAGTATATCGTGGTGGCGCTCTCAAAACTTTGCACCCTTCATCTGTGCCCTAATTCGCCCCCTCTCCCGCACTGTAAAAAAAATAGTAAAAATGATAATTAAAATATGAGTGTATGTTTAATTGACATAATTAATTGTTTTTTGGATCTTACCATTACATAAGTAATATCTAATGCAAGTATTTCAAATTGCGCGCTACAATATAGGAATTGTCGCAGAGCAATTGCTTCAATTAGTCATAGTTAATTCATGTAATTTTACGTTACCAATTTCTGTCGAATTTTAATTAAAATGAGTCACGGTTGAGACTGACAATGCATTTTCTTAAGAACTCACATCAAGTACAAATAATAAAAGTTAATATTTAAGTTTTACACCAGGGTATCGTCCCAATGGCTTTACAGGACGATTTTAAAGTTTTGTTTTATTGGTGATTCTAATAAAACATTTGAAGATTGGTACCCTGTACCAACAATTTTTTTCATAATCTTTTCCAGTTAAGCATTTCTAGTCGTGCGTACCTCCTTGGTGTCGTAAGGCTAGTTAAACAATAAATAATTACTACAAACTCTTCCACATTAAATTTTGTTCATTCATTTTTTTTTATAATTCCCTGAAAAGATGTAGATATAATAAAAGTTGTTGTAAATAAAATATTCCGAAATTGTGTTTTATAATAGGTACCTGTATAAATAAGAAATTTTTTACGAATATTTTTACTTTTACTGCTATACTTTTCGATAGTTACGGTTCTGTTAACAGATTTGTATAAATAAAAAAAAACACTCACTAATTGAATAAATCGCTTAGGAAGATTATTATAAAATGAAATTATTGTTTGTGTATTGATACTCTGTAAAAAAAAATATAATGTATTATATATATATATANNNATATATATATACATATATATATTTAGCAATGGTACTTTGTTGTTTATTTGTGGTAAAGTTTTGCTAATGGATGACACTTGAGTTTAAACTATAATTTAATTATTGTAGTTTTACCACACTCGTGATAATTTTTTTTCAAAAACCGAAAGAATGAATGAGAGGTGAACTTAAAATAATTTTTATTAAATAGAATTCTGGCCTTGACATGGTTAATAGATACAACATTTTGTTTTATTAAGTGCTAATGTGGCCTAAACTGCTTTCAATGGTTAAGGACCTTATAGCCTTTAAGTATTTAGTACAAAATCAAGCACAATAATTCTTTTATATATTATCATCATCATCATCATCATAAGTCTGATTGGACACTTCTTCCTGTCTTACAGTTAGCCAATGTTCGCATTTTTCGAAAAGTGTTATATTGTATACAGGGTGTCTCACAGTGACAATTTCACAGCCATTTTCGTAAAAAAATAAACAATTTTTATTCATTTTACAAAGAAAATTAAGTAATTAGAAAACTAGAAGAGATGGCTTTAGGGACCCATAGTACCATTCGACAGACAATAACATTTTGTATAAGACTATGAAAATATGTATCTACAGGGTGTTCCATTTCAAAAAACTGACTTACGACTGTTTGAAGTTAACCAAATCCGCCACTAAGTATCTAATACCGTGTATGTAATTAACCCACTTTGAAAGCATGGACGGGAAGCTTGAAGGTATAGCTACCGTTCCTGAAAAGTTTGTTGCTCCAGCTATATTGCTGTAAAATAGGCATGCTTTTTTGCATTCTACTGCTCCGTGATACTTTTTTTTTAAAAAAATTAATATCTCGAAAACGGTAAATTTTAGAAGTAGAAAACCATTATAAAACTCTACCTAAAATCACAAGTAGAATTTAAAACCGCCGTAACATACAGGGTGTTCCATTTAAAATAACGAAGTTGGTGTCAGTTTCCGGTATAACCGTATGTGCATACCCAGTAACACCATTGTCCAAATTTTCAAAATTCGAATCGAAGTAGTTTCCGAAATATTCTAACGGGTGGTCACTGTGACACACACCTTGTATATTCTTCCGTTCAATAAAATAACAAAAAATTATTATTGGAAGACGTTGAACACATTTATTTCGTTTTTGTTGAGTTTATTACGTAAAAAACTGGAAATTTTGTGAAAACTGAAATTGCATTTAACGCTTGTTAGATTTATAAATGTGACGGTTACTCGTTACTTAACATAAACGCAGGATAACAGGGAGTGATAAAGTAGAAACAATTCCTTGCAGTACGATTACCGCTTGATGTGTTATTGTCCTTGATACTGCAATTTATTTATATTAGCACCATGGTTTCATGGCACAATATCTACAAAAGGAAAACCTAAACAAAGTGTTTATTTTTTCTATTGCGGATGAGACAGAAACATTTTCGTGTTTTTAACATTCTGCTTCCTTTTTATTATCTAGTTAAGTGACCACTTTAAAATTGTTTAATGACCGTTGAATATAGGTATCTATTCAGTTCATCTATTTTCTAACGGCCAAGAAACAGTTCGATGTATTATTTTGGAGCGGCTTACGTCTAATGATTAATTAACTACCTACAGTACTTAATGCCTGTGTCATTTTTGTTGCTAACTATTTAAATTTTTGATTTGTACGTTAGTCATTCCTCTGGTAAATTTCAAAGTCGTAAAAGAAAGAAAGACAATCTGATGTGAAAAAGGGGCCGTAATGGTAATGGGCCTTGTTAACCAAATAGAATAATCAGCTATAAAGTTTATCTTCTTAAACGAACGAACTAGACACTAGCCACTTGTTGTTTTCGTCGTTGTCACGTATGTAGAGTAATTTTTAAATGTAAAAAAGTTAAATGGTAGTGCCTCATGGTAACAAAAACACCCTCTACACCCTCGCGACACATTTACTGAATGGAATATCCCCAAAGATAATTAAAACTTCATCGCTCCTTGATTCATATGATATTCGCAAAATTATGTCTATTAGGTAAGTGCGTACATACATATTAAAAAATAAATATTTATAAACAATTTTTTCTATCTCTCATGCTTTTAATAATACGTGAATGTGATAACGTACTGCATCAGACATCTTTCAGATGATAAAATTAACCAAAAATTCGAATTTTTTTTTATTTAATTTTAACACGTATAATAATAGTATGTGATTCATCTATAGNCGTTAGTTGTAAACAAATAAATAAATATGTACTTTAATTTTGGGTGCGTGGAAGTTTCTTTGAGGAAACAATAGAATTATAAGTTGACTCATCCCCCACTGATTAAATTCTTATAAAGTGTTATTTTCTTTTGTTGAATAGCTTTTGTTAGATAACGGTTTAATTTGGTTAAACCAGTTTTCCAATTGCTTCTATTTATTATTAACAGTTTCAATTATTTTTTTCTATAGACGTCGAGTGTGATTTAATTAAACTGTAAGTGGATAGATGTATTATATAATGTAATCTTTTTAATCTATTTCAGCTTTTTGTAAATATTTGATCTGCCATTACTTTTATAATACAGAACATTTATTTATTGGTACCTAGTTTTAAAATTACAAGAAATATTGGACTAGTTATATACAAAAAAGGTACTTTATTGAAACGACGCCATTTTGCTACGCGTTATCATTTTATTCTTATATTATCTACAAATAAGATATGGCATAAACTTGTAATCTCATCAAATATGCTACTATTCTAAAATTGGTTGTAGTTAAATATTTGAAATTTAATTGTTTCTTATTTACACATACTAGAAATGTTGAATTATAAGATGTAGTAATTCTTCCTTATTTTGAGAATAACAAAGCAATAAACCCGAATTAAAAAATAATAATAATAATACTTAAAAAAAGCGCCAATATAGTAGCGGATTGGAATTTATTTTTTAATATTACTTACAAATTGAATGTTAATCTTAATTATTAACGAAATTTGGGATCCATTTTTAGTTCTGGTTTTTCAGTATTTTGTGGTGCTAAGGAATTACGTTATAAAAGTCAATATTAAATTCATGATGGCGTACA